GACTAAAGAGGGAGGAACTGTTGGAAAGTATAGGCCTTAGACTAAGCAGTCCCATTGCATGTTCTTCAGAAAGTCAAATCCTATAATGAAATCCTCATGACAATATTAAGTTTGCCATCCATTGGCTTTCTCTGCCTTTGATTTGATTCCTGGCAAATTATGCTCTTCTTTAGCTCCTTTTAATTTAAGTGAGGCAAATACAAGAGATCTTTCTATGAACTAGTGCTCCAAACCAGTCTTCTTTTCATCAAAGAAGAAAACTGGGTTAGCATGATTTGTTCTTAATAGTCATCCTTTCCTGCTAGTTAATTAACTCAAGCTTCTCCATGTTTGAACAATTAATTGCTTTGTTATTTTGTGTAATGACTTATTGGGTAAAGAAGTTAAACTGATTTATCTGGAAGTCCCACTTAAAAATAAAAGTGGGATACGTTCTATTCTCTGGCCTCCACTGAAGCAAACCAGTCTCCATGTGTTCCTGACACAGAACCTGACTATGACTTCTTTGAAATGTGCACAGCAGGATCCGTAAGGACCCCTGGATGAATTGGCTAGACCCCTTGATCAGCAAACCATATTGCAAATATCCCAGAAGCATGCATATCTTGGCCATGGACCAGACACATTTAGCCAATGTTACATGGTATTTACATGCCTCTTAAGACACAGATCTTGAGATGCGTGTTTGACAAAATAAACCGTTCCAAGATGAAAAGATGAGAGGCAGTACAGGCATGCTAGAATGCCTGCCTGCAACACCAGGATAGCATCATGTATTGTGATATTGCATTTGGCATGGCTGCTGTGAGTAAACTTCAGCCCAGACACATATTTGCCCATAAAAGACTTGCTACATTTCCAGAATGCTCCGTGAGAATGACAGCTGGCATGAATCAAACCATGTTCTGGTCTTCAATGTTTAAATCTGAATTCCACCAGCAGATGTAAAGTCAAGTAACCACAACTGTTGCAAGGCACACACTTGTAAAAGACAACTCATATTTGGCATTTCTCCAGGAAGACAGAGACCCCTGTACTATACCCCTGCTGCATTCAATGAAAAGTGAAACACCAAGCCTTGGATATATCTGTCGACACGGGTGACATGTTGTCCAATCATGTCTGGTCGGCACATGTAGCCTGACCTGCTACCTGTGGTGTCAAGGTACTTAAAACAAGAAAATGTCATAGCAAAGTTTTAAAAATTCATGAACATACAGTACATTTGAATAAGAACAAATATTTCTTTGGTCAATAAGCTCCCCATACCTCACTGTTTACATTCTAGTTCCAATTTGCAGAGCAGTTGATTTGGGATGAGATCAAGTTCATTGATGGTAAGAACCAGCACAACTTTTTCTTATTTACAAATTATTTTGTATTTTCTGATGCTGAGGGCACAAAACTACAATAATATAAATCTAATAGTATAGTCCTAAACTTATTTATTTCAAAGTAAATTGCATTGAATCCAAAGGACTTACATCCATGCACCTCTTATGGATTAATGTATATATTTTAAGTACACAAAATGACACACAGATCTCAAATGTATATATCTACTTTTCTGACTGCTAACATCAATAGGGTCTATTGTTTTACTACAGATTTATTAGTTTTATTATTTATGATTCTTGAACATTCTTTTAAAGAAAAGCCTTATTAAAATAATAATCTTGGTTGGAAGGATGGATGGATGGATGGAAAGCATGTCTCATTTCTAATTTAAACTTTCATTTAAAATAGGCTGGTACAACTTGTGATCAATCTTGCTAAACAGAGTTCACTTGTAGTTGAATAAATTTCAGTTTTTCGCTCTCTGCTCTGGACTGTGAAACAGAGGGGATGAGAGGCTGATTGACTTGCTCTGGCTTTTGTCAACTCCCAAGAATGGAGGAGAAAAAAGCAGTCTTCCCCACCACCACCTCCTGCCCGTCAGTTGGCAGTCCTGTCTCCCAGTGGATTAATAAATATTAGTCAATACATTACTGTACAAGAAATATTCCACCATGTATTTTCAAAACTATATTTTTAGAAAGCAGAATATACAACTTTCCTTCCATGAGGATTTATTCTTGAGGCAAATAAATATATGAGTATTGCCTATGTTTTAAGACTGGCCCAAAACATGTGACAATGCAATTAAATAGTGTAATAGTAGAGTGTTGTGTGCTTTTTTCCTACAATGGATCACTACATTCTTATTTTTCCACTAAAATAACAATACAATTAAATCATTCAGGTTTTAATCATTTATTGCCATATAGTGGTTTAAAAGAAGTGCTAATCTGAATTAAATATTATAAAACATTTTTTAAAATTATGTTTTAATGTCACATTGCTGTGTGCACAGAGAGTAGTTTACCTTTAAATGCCCAGGTTTCTTCCTGGCAATTTTGCATTTATCATAAATCACATCCATTACCCACCAATATGTGTATCTTTCATGTTCCTTTCATTTGATCTCTCAGCTTATTGATAAGCAATCCTTTCTCTTTTACTTTATTTTTGGAAAAATGCCACACCTCTCTCTCTAAAACTCAGTGATGGAAAGTTTGTGGCTCCATGAGCTGTACGTGTTAAGCTTATGCAGCCATTTCATTTACCCACATGGAGTACAAAACATGGGTTTCTCTGCTAATATGTCATCATAAGAAGGAGCTAACTGGTATAATGGATAGTAGTATAAAAAGGCATGGAAGCTTGTATCCATACACCAGTTTACTGTTATTTACTCCTCTGTAGTTTCTATAAAATGATGAGGTATTTTGGTGAGGTTTTTCAATGGTTGAAGGTTACAGAAAGACCAGCCTCAGTACAGGATCGTCTTGTTGATGTTTAATTTTTAATTCAACTGTAGGGATTTGTTTTCCTTTTCAGCAAGTCATTAATTCATTGAAAAGAAATGCACATGCACACTTGAATGTCCAGCTAGTCTTCCTATGGCTTTCTTCTCTGCGTGTGCCAGGGTTAAAAGACAAGTCAAGGATATCTTTCTAAGAGTATAAATCATAGAAGAATTGAGCCTATCCAATCTTTACTGGGCTAGCCAGGCTTAAACGGTTTAGGAGTAGTCAGATTACTATATACAGAGAACTATACAAACAATTTTTGCATTATGCTTTTTTGAGGGTGCAGCCATTGGCATGGTGAGGATGAGCCACTTAACCTTCGTGTCAATATTTTCTTGGGATGTTTACAAAATTACGTAACACTGTCTAGATAACTTTGTAGGCAGTGCTGGGGTGGAATCAGTTGGTGATGATGATATTGGAACCAATGATATAGTAAAATGAAGTCAAGAGTTTTTGGAAGTCAAATTTAGTTTGCCAGGTAGAAGTTTGAAATCCAGGGCCAGAGAATTGGTTTTCACTGAAATGCTACCTGTTCCACATGCAGAGCAACCTGGACAGATGAAACTGAGTCTCAATATATAGATAATAGTGGTTCAGGGAAGAGAGGTTCAGATTTTTAGACAGTGGAAACATTTTGCAATAAATCAAGCCTTCTCAAGAGGTTTGGATTCTACTTGAACCAAAATGGAGCCAGAATGCTGGCACCAAATATAAAAATGGTAGCAAAGCAGCTTTGATTTGATCTCTGGGGAAAAGCTGACGGGGGTTTAGAAGCATCTGCTTCAGACTGGATCCTCCCTAGGAGCAAGGGTGTAGTGGAGAGGGCCTGGGGGGGGGGGGTCAGAGCACCCCTACTCATTTTGGAGGGGTCACTGGATCCCTGAAGATCCATGGTCACTGTCCCTCCCCCACTGCCTGTCAAGAGTCTTAATTTTGCAGGTTTGTGACTGGCAGCTGCTACTGTTTTGGAGTCCTGAACTTAACAGGTTGAGAACAGGGGTGGTTTTTTGGACAGTTCCCAACAGTTCCTGGGAACTCCCTATCTAGAGAAGCCTGCCAGGTATGCAGAGAACCCTAGTGAAATATGATCGTACCTGAATATAAAATCAAAGGGAAAGACAGGTTGGGGTGTACTGGAGGTTTGCTCTTATGTCTAAGAGGGTGTAATATGTGACAGACTAGAAAACCCAGAAGGGGCAGAAGCACTATGGCTGACACCACAAGGATCCAAAAATAATTTACTGCTAGAGGTATGTTATGATGCCCCTGACCAGAACGTTCACGATAATCCTGATAGAAAACAAAATGAGGGAAGCACCCAAACAAATAAGTGTTGTAATCAGGAGTGATTTCAGTTACCCCCAACGTGGACTGGATAAATGCATACCCGATTCATGACAAATAGGTTACATTTCTTGATGCCCCAAGATCCAGTAAAAAGCAGGAGTCAAGGCTAAATCCCTTCAAAATGTTTGGAGGTTACACAAAACCACATTAATAGGTGCTGAGGTCGAATGCGCCATGTGTTAGGAAAGGTAGCATCAAATGCATGAGGTCACCAGCATGGTTGACAGACAAGATGCAGGAAGCTATTACAAGAAATAAAATCTCCACATCAGTGGCTTGGGAACTTGGATGAGAGGAAACAGTTGTGCTCATGTTCTACTGGAGGGATTCCTGTGGGCGGCTGGTTGGCCAGTATGAGCAGAATGTTGAACTTGATGGACCTTTTGTCTGATCAACATGGCTCTTCTTAAATTCTCTATGCTATCATGGTAAATAAAGAATTACCCTCATTTTATGTAAAAGGGTAAAATGGAATGGACACAGTCCAGTAGCTCTGATGCACATGAAGAATGGTTTGTGAATATTTTTGTGAATGTATACGAACGTTCCATGGGAGCAATGGATAATCCTTGTGTATATGTTAAAAACTGCTCCCTTAGTCAGGGATTTTTGGCCACATTCATTCAACGCTGGCTTATATTCCACAATGCAGAGTCCGAACTCTGTAATCATTACTCTCAATAGAAAAACCTCTTGTACTAAAAGAAAAATCAATTCATTAAAAATCAATGAACTGTTTTAACTATATGTAAAGTGTCTACAACCATTTTCATCTAAAATAAATCCAAGACAGCAAAATTATTTTTCATGTTCCAGAATAACCTATATTTTTTACCCACAATATACACCCACATTATTTTTGAAGATACAGAAGAAAAAGTGCTACACTTACTAAATCAGTTTTTAACAATAACTGAGAGGGATACCCATCATTTATACATATTCTATGCTTAGATACAAATAGTGCTTGTAGTATCTTGTCTAGTTCAAATAATTTACATATATTAACACATTTTGTTGAGCTCAGCAGAGGAATCAAATGAAATATCTAGATGTTTTGGACTAACATTCCCATCATCCCTGAACAGTGGTCAAGCTGACTAGGATACACAGCCTGCAACATCTGGGAGGCACCTTGATCTAAGCAATGTTGCACCAGAATATCTAAAGCAAGGATGGGCAGAAGTTAGACCACCAGAAGTTTGGGGTGTCAGCTTAGAGAAGCCATTGCTAGCATGCCCATCCATGCCTCCTAGATTAGACCAGTCACTCATTAAAACCTTCTGCAAAGGCCCTCCTCCACACCTAGCCAACATTTGGCTGAGATGCTGTAAAGAGCCATGCGTCAACTTTGGAAAAGCCTTCAAAAGGAAGTTTATCTTCACCAAACTCTGATGGCCTTCTGCTGGCTCACTCAGACTCTTTTCTTCCAGCCAGGGCTGCCATCTGAACCCCCCGTCCCACCCCAGTTTCTCTCTGCTGTCTCCTGATTCCTTTTCTATATTTTATGTGAGGATTTTATTCTTAGTATTTCTTATTTTCATCTGTGCTGTAAACTGCCTGGGAATATTTTTTTTAAAGTTGGGGGTATACGTGTTTTAAATAAATTCACAGGATATGTTGGATTGCTACCCTAAATCAGAATCTGACATGTATGTCTCTTGAGACAAAGATTGGCTTTCTTTCTAATCAGGCTATTGTGATAAACATATCTAATAGGAAAGAGCTAAAGTCATGGCCATCTTGAAGAAGCCCCAGTGACCAAGAAGAGTGATTCTAAAACTCTTCCTGAATGCAAATTCTGGCTCCATGTATGCTTTGATAGACAGGACTCATCATTAAATATTTTCCAGTGATACACCAATAGAGGAATCTTCTATCTGCAGGGCTTTATGTATCTTCTTTTCCACAGAGTGATGTCATTGGCTGGCTTTTTGGCAGAACACCATTTCTGAATCCAGTATCAGCACAAACTGTGTGTATAAGGTTCCCAGTGCAGAAGATGACATGCAGAAGCTTGCTCCCATGTGAACACTGTACTGTTTAAGCAGCTACAATGACTTCTAGAATCAATGGAATGGCAGAGGAAGGCTGTAGGAACTGGTCCAGCTATTCAAAGTAGCTACAAACTTAATACCATGTAGTGCATTTTCCTAATAGGCAACACAATAATCTGGAGAACCCAATAAACTATATTTCTGTATTACTGGAAGCCAGTAATTTCTATTCACTTGTCCTTCTAAATAAGCACATCTATTCCACCAGGTCTGGTGGGATGCTCTTCCCTGATACACCCAATATTCAAATTTTAACTTTTACATATTTCACTGCAGCCCACAATGTACTTTTTAACATTCTGGTGTCATTTCAGTGTCATAAATGTGTATACTTTCCCTGCCACGGCATGCCTCTTTCCTCAAATGTTAAAATGTTTGAAGTTTCAGAACTGAGTAGTCTCTAGAATGTCTAATTCTGAGACAATAAAGTGCCAAGAAAAACAGGCAGGTAGGTAATATGTACAAATCCAATACATCCTAACAACCTATAATTAGGTAACAATTGGTGCTGTACATGGCTAAGGAAAAAAATCTTCTAAACATTCTGAAAAATTTCCTCTATGAATGTTGATGTCCAATATTCACCAGATATTTGACAGTATGGTCAAATACTTGCTTAACATTCCCTGAATTTTCAATGCTGCATTGGATACAGAATAGTACTCCATTGAAATAGTTGCTTTCCTGGCTATTGCAATCTAATAGAATTTGATCAGCAATGTGCAACAATATCTTTAACAGATTTTATAGCTGACCTGCAATTACAGGGATTATTTCACAATATTATATTGTTGACAGTTTATGGTATTTCATATTTGATGTGCACCAAAAACTAAATAATAAGAAATACCAACATGAATAAGGGCACAATTCCATGAGGCTGCACATAACCTTCCAAGTTTGAAGGATTATGGACCTCCTGGGCAGGGTAAGTGGTACATGGAGGCAAAAATCAGCTGCATGGTCCTCCTGCCCTGCAAATCAGTTAGATGCAGCATTTTGGAGAAGTTGGGAAAGGGGCGAAAGCACTTTGACAGCACTTGTCCCCCTTCCTCCTCCTCATATCCCCTTGATCCTTCTTGATTAGCTCCTTTATAGATTGTTCAGCATGATGCATGGACCCAGACCATTGGGTTGTTTAGGGGCTAAGCAACCCACTAGCTAATCCAAGGTTTGCTGTCCAATTAAACACTGGGCTGTTTAGCTCCTAAACAACCCAGTTGTGTCACACTGTATGACTCATAAAGGAACTGATTGCAAGTTCAGCGGTTATGTGGAAGAGACAGGCACACGTCCCCAACAAACCTATCAGTTTTCAAACTAGCAGGTTTGTCACTACCTGGAAACATCCCCAGTAAAGTTTGTTTTACTAAAAAAGATTTCTATGCTCTGAAGAGAAACCAGAGTATTAAAAAAAGAGTCACAAATAACCAGGTATATTTTCTAAAGTTGACACAATCGTTTTCTGCATTTTTCATTTTGTGACTACATGTGTGTCAGAGATGGCCATGTGCCACTTCTAAATTGCTTTGTTTGTTTTGTCATCAGTATTTCTCCTATTCTGCATGTGGTATAAAAGCATGGCCTTCAGGTTTATAGAACAGAACTGAGGATGCAAATGATAGCATATTAAATGTTAGCCTCTTCCAAAATCCTTATTTAGTTAAGCCCTCTGAAGCTAGGACTTGATCCAGTGCCACTGAAGTCAATAAGATGTGTAAATTAAATGTTAAGTCAGACCAGAATGTATCACAAGCGATACTGAAATTTACGTAATCCTAATATAATTTCTAAAATTAAAACATTCTATTTAAAAATCCCCTCTTATTTTTAATGTACAAAGAACTTCAATAAAATATATACTCTTGATTTAATTTTTCTTCCAAATAAATCTAACCTCTTAAATTCAGAAATGCTTACTTTTTAAAAATGGTTACAAGTTCTGACATAGCCAGAATTTTAGGATTTGTATCTGATTCTTCTGTCCCTAGAAACAGAACGCTACCATGTCATACTTACTAAAGAGTATGCCCCATTGAGCTCAGTGGGACTTACTTCTTAGCAGGTACCAGTTCTGTACCAGTTCTGCAGTTCATCCCTCAACTTCAATCTGTGCAGCAAATACTATGGAGCCTAAAATAGGGGACATCGGTTCTGACCTGCAATTTGCCTTTCTGATAGATTCTAACAGGAAGTTTGGCTTTCGTAGATCACTATTTTCAGAGGCAAGTTCTTGCAAGGAATTCTACACCTAGGAGTCCTATTATATGCAAATGTAAAGGGCCCCAGGCTCATTGTCCAAACTACCCTTATGAAAGATGATGAGACCAATGGTCCCCGTGTAAGTGCAAACGGGTATTCCAATTACTGGATCAGCCAACTATACAGCAAACTTATATGCACTACTAAGAGTTCCCAAGAGAGGGAAATTAGTGGAGAACCACCTGTTCCACAAAGATCACACTCATTCTTTTCACAAAAGGTACAAGATGACAGACTGTTCATCACTTTGGAGTTATAGCTTCTCACTGTTCTTCTCCCTGTTGAGAAAATTTGAGGAACCATATTCAGTATTCCTAGTTGTTAGGGCCAAACATATCCCAACAAGTTTGATATGCTGTGTGGCTTATCACAGAAATCAAATCAAGGCCAATGAAACCACCAGTGTGAGCCTTGAACCCATAGGCAGTTTTGACCAATGCAGTGGCTTTGATCCCACATTTTTAAACAAAGAATTGAACACATCTTCTTTTTGTCCTTCTTGAAACCTAAGTACTGCCACACCAGTTGCAGCGAACAGATTAAGAAAACATGTATGAGATGTGACACAGCTTAGTTTCTTTGAAATAGAAGGTGCAGGTCATTCAACTGGCATAAATCAACTGAGAGCCAGTGTGGTGTACTGGTTAAGAGCATGGGACTGGGACTCAGACGATCTGGGTTCTAGTCCCGGCTCAGCCATGGAGCCAACTGGGTGACTTTGGGCCAGTCACAGACTCTCAGCCCAACCTACCTCACAGGGTTGTTGTGGGGATAAGATGGAGGAGGAGAATGATGTAAGCTGCCTTGAGCCCTTTGTAGGAAAAAGGCAGGATATAAATCGGAAAAAAAAAACTGGTGTAAATCAGTTTACAACTAGAATTGTTGTAGATCAAAAGCTGAATATGAGTCAACAGTGTGATGTGTCTGCAAAAAAATACTATTTTGGGATGCATTAATGGATGTATCATTTTCAAAATACATGAATTCCCCTCTTCCTGTTGCTTCCAGTAATATGCATCTTACAATCTTCGATGCATCTTCAATTTCAAAATGATTCCCCCCAACTTAAAGAGTCCATTCTTCATTCTGCTAACTAAAACTGGATACTTCACCAGTAACTAAACTTCAATCACAAATGACTGGCACTTACTAGGTTCATAATAATCCAGCACAGTCACAAAGGCAGCTTGTGTATTTGCCACTTTGAAGTCCCTCACAGCTGGAATATCCACACAAACCTGTGTTTCATTTAACTAGAAAATGAAAGAGAAAGTATTCAGTGATTTCAATGTCTTACTGCTAAAAAAAGGCAATGATACATCACTTGTTGATCATACATAAAAGATTTTGCATTAGCTAACAGCTACAGATGTACATATGGCATTAGCACAATAGGCTGTCTGAAAAAAGTCTGATATTTGTTCAGCTGAAAAAAGTTTGTTCAGCTGAAAAAAATGTTAAAATTCAAGCGAGGGAACCGAAATTTCATTGCACACTCCACTTGGGTATTAAAATTGCACACTTAGGAACACAATGTGAATTCCCCCAATCCTACTACCTTAGTGCCTAATTAAGAGAGTGCATAGCAAGCCAGCTCCAAAAATCACCATTCAAAACATATAACTTTTATCAAAACACTACTTGATTATACATCTCATGGGAATATTGTCCTCTTCTATCAGTTCCAGACAAGATTATTTAAATTTTGGAAGCAAAGAGGGAAAACTATTAAAAGTTATGTTAGAAGACTGTGTTTAGACTCTAAAATGGTTTGTTAACAATAATAAAATTGGACAGTATCCCAAGAAAAGGTAGGGATGTTGTTTTATATGGCTGGAACAGCAAAACTCATCTATGCTAAATACTAGAGCAGTTCTAAAATATGCAGACTGAGGATTGTATGTTAAATTATGGGGTGCAGCCTTTCTAAGTATTGTGCATAAAACAGGGGTACACAATAAAAATCAATGAGTGGGACTACCTTACAGGTACTGGTATGGGAAAGCAATGCATGATAGAGAAGTGGGAAATCTATTTCCGTTGCTGCATATTTTAGATAGTTATCTATAGATATATCTGCCATGGTTTTATATTGTGCATTGGCTAAATGTAATCTTTATTTTTAATACTAAATGAAAATAAACTTTTCATATATTAGATTTTAAAATTGTGATGGTTACATGAGTCAAACAGATCCTTATTAAACAAAATTCCCCCACCTACACATATTTTGACTTACAGAGTCAAAATATATATGGACTTTCCCATCATCTTCCTCCACCTTCTTAACTGGATCACCCAAAGACATGAAATTGGGTGAGAGAGAGAAGCCACTCAGTAGTCCAACCTCTAGAAGAGCCATACCACTCCGTGAAGATGTGCCGGCACCCAAATACCTAATAAACAAAAACAGAGTGTTATTTTAAATACTTTTATTAAAAAAATAAATCATAGAAACATTTAATACAGAATTATATATACAGGAACATTTTATTATAAATACATCATGTAATAATGATGGCAGTATACACATTTTATTGTACAAATCAATAAAAATCACATAAAATAATTGTGAAAGAAGAAAAAACAAAGGGGAAACATATATAGCTGAGGTCCTAGGTCCCACCAACATACCAACAACATACCAGATGTTCTTGGCTGATACTCTATGAATGCTCTACAGGAAGTTGCTGCATCCAAGTCTGATGGCAAATAACAAATTTGATGGAAGTACAGGACAATTAAAACACATTTCTGAGTGCTTCCATGTGCACTGATGGAATGTCAACCTGTGAAGGAGCCTGAATACTCAGTGCACCTCTACCATATGAGCGGTGGTGTGACTCTACATGCACCTGACTGGAACGGTCTTCCTTCCCTGCCCTTTGAAGGGGAACGGCTGTGCAACTTGCATGTCCATTTAGTCATATGAGTATAACAAAAAGGCATGGCAGGTAGAGCCACAAATATTCACACCTCACCACCACACCAAAAATTAAAGGATGTGTAAGGGTGTAAACTTACTCATCCCCACTTTGGCCATTACCTAGTAAAAAGAAATATGAAATTGAACATTTTTTATCATTGGTTAGAGAAACAGGACTATGCGTAGAATTGAATATGTTTGTTGGATGTAAAAAAGAGTGAGAGGTCGGCCCAGTATGTCCAATGTCCTGAATAATTGTTGTTTTAGTTTTGGACTTATAGTAAATCATAAAATTTGATAAAAAAGAAATAGGAAATGATGGCCAAGAATAAACTACAATAGAAGTGAAATGCTTCATTTCACTCATTTGCTCTAACTATTCTAACACATAACCAAATGCCAGAATTACCATGGGAACACATTAAATTACAATCATATGCAGTACACAAAACTTTGCCAAACCTTTATGTATAAAATATCACTAAATTTTGAAAATACTGGTGACACATTTATAAATCATATAAGCTTCCCTTTGCCATACTATGGAAGCAACTATTTCTCCTGCTATCTACTTTTAGTGTTTTTTAAGAAAGCAACTACCCCAAAGAAGGGATAGTTGATGAACGAAGGTAGAAATGGCATGAAGATGGTTTGGGAGAAAGAAGAGAAGTAAAATATGTGGTGTCAAGAAACCAACTCCCTGAGATTGCACTGAGAATGGGGTTTTCCCAGCAATCCGGGAGCATACAACTATGCTTCGAAAGAGATAAATGGCAGTAAGGTTCATTGTCGCTGTATCTTATTCTTTGCTTTTCATGGGGTTTAGTCACAAGTAACTTTTGATGGATTGTGACTACCTGGCATTAAGAATCACACAGAACTAGTAATTCACGAACAGTTCTTAGAAGATTGATTCTGTTACCTTACTAAATTAAGAGTAGCTTTTCTAACAGGTGGTAACTGCAGAAACTAGTCACTGCCAGATCCCATCAGGTACCAGAATTGAACTTTGTTCACTACCAGAACGATAGTAGCCTTCTTGGGACTATCTTGGTTGCCTGAATGTTCTCTGTTATTTTGTGATACTGAGGCTTGAATTCGTCACTCAAGCAAGTATGAACCCACTGGACGTTCGTACGAGTTGATGGCCCTATTAAGTAGCCCTCAAACATGCACAGAATTTAACTAACAGAAGTGAATCCCACTGACTACAGTTAAGTTTACTGACAAGTAAGTGGGTTCCACAGGGTCTCTGAAGTAATTCCCCCTCTCCTTCAGGCTTCCTGTAAGGCTTCTTTTACATGGTAATTGCTGAGTATCTCCAATGCCTGTACACAATAACAACAACACACAACTGGGCTATGTGTGTTGTTTTCCACACAACATATGGAAAAAAATGTTTGTGGATGTACTTCATATGAGGCAATCCTTTGAGTATCCTTTAAAGAAGGATGTTTTTGCAAAAGGTGACAGAAAGCTTCTCCTTGTCAGGGAGACTAAACCACTGTCATGATTGTCCAGGAAAAGAGTGCATCTCCAATCTCTATTTTGAATACTTGACAGTAGTTAAAAGTAACTGAATAAAACTGTATTTCTTTTTATATGGGGACAATTTGCAAGAGAGGAAGACTCGCTTTTCAAAGCAATGCTTTTGGCCCTGGCAATATGGCTGATTAAATACAGATATGGCTTTGAAAGAAATTCAGTGCAACTGTTGGCTGAGGTTAGCTCACGAGATTAAAAGGAAACAAAACCATCTGTCGGATGAATCACCAGGCCAAAGTAGCTGCTATTGAAAACAAATAACTGAATTGGAACTGGATGTAATTATGTCTGCGTTATAATTGCAGAAGAGAAGAAAGTGCTGCTCATTGCCATTCAGGTATAATTATTTTGTACAAAATGACTGCATTAAAAGAGAGTCAGTACAGTGACTGGGAAATGAGAGGGAGGCATTGAAAAGCTCAGAAATTTGGGCAAAAGATAATTGGATAGTGCACCATAAGAAAAACAGTACAAATAATATTATAATGTTATTCATCATCTGATCGCCTAACAGTTCTCTAAAATGGAGTTATTTGTGTATATGTAGAAATATGGCAAAGTGCACCACTCAAAAGTTTCTAATAAAAGAGGATGAGGGATGGCTTCTCAAAATTACTTACCTGGTACAAACATTCACTGTTAGGTGATTTATATCTTTTTCATTATCCTTTACAACAACATCTAAGTCAAAGGCTTCTGGATTTTGTGCAGATCTACGCCTCCTGCTGGTATGTGAATTTTTTACATTGTACATAATATTGAGCTATGAAAACACAAACATAAAACATAGTAATATCAACAGAGAGAATATGAGTGACATAACACGATCATCTGAGCACAGGGATAATGGCAGAGTTCCAGAAGTCACAATTCTATACCTTGAAAACTGTCAAGCTATTATAGTTTCTCCCTCAAAATTTATCACAGAATATTGTGAAACAATTCAATACATCAGAGAAACAAAACTGACAGATTAATCCAAGCAAACGACCATGCATTGTCATTAATGCACCTATTTTTAGGAATCCCAAAACAGCATGTTACAAGCTGACCAAACACCTGTCTAGCATGGCAGCTCAGCCAGCAGTTGTACAGGAAGTCCACAAGCAAGTTAACCCCGTTCATGTTTGCCACCAAATGGTAAACAGAGGCATGCTGTCTCTGGAGGCCACGCAATGTCCAGCAATCGTGATCCTCAGCCTTATCCTCCCTGAATGTGCCTAAACAGGCAAAAATGCACATTTTACATTGCTTTTCAAAATAATCAAGAGTAGGGAGGGTGGGTAAAGGCTGGGTCGGGATACATAAATACCTTGTCTTAAATAAATTATCCATCAGTCTAAAGGAAAATATTTCAAAAATCCAAAGCTGTTACACTTTTCCATTTCTTTTTCACCACCCCACTGAAAAACCCCCAAAACAGTCCTTGGAAAAACAGTGAAACGGTTTTTTCCCCGAGTCTCTCCCGACTCCCACCCAGGCTTTTCCATCTCTAAGTATTAGCTAAAGTACTATGTAAGTACTATGTCACAAACAGGAAGCTTAAAATATAATAAAAAGATTAAAATATACCAAAGATTAAATATACCAAACACTAAATATTTACCTGAAAGAAGATTCAAATACTGCCTCTCAGGAACACCTGCATTTTGTCCAGCTTTACAGATCTACTTCCCTAGTGACTTGAAACAATTAAATGGACTTCTGAACTAGATGCATAACATAGGTTAACTTAGATATAAAGCATAATCATGAAAGTATTCTGCTTTCTTTAAACAACATTTGAATACATCTGTAGAGAGATGGCCCAGCCTCTAAAAATGCTTTATTCCTAGTTAGCTAGTTTGGATCCTGAGGAAGAAGAGGAGAATAGCCCTGAACTGTCAAGGTTACTGAACAAACATACTCAAGGCAACATCTGAGAACCAAACCAAAGTTGGAAAGAGGGGGCGGGGGCTGTAGAACAAGGAGGAGCTGAGGCAGTGCAGGGACTCTTAGACCCTGTCAAATGACAGGCTAAATGAGCAAACCAATTAAGAAGCAGGGCCCTGAGACAGTGTGAGCCACTCTGAGGGTGAAGTCAAACCTTTTCTGAAAAGGAAGGAAAGAGGGCATCATTTCAGTTTCGATTTAGCTCTTCACATGGGCAGAAGCTACTCCCACTTATCACAGGGGATTGTTTCTTTGATTTATGCTGATTGTACACCTGAAGAATTCCAACAGAGCACTGTATTTCTAAAGTTTTTGTCTGCATCTTAAAGGAAGGGAGAAGAGGGAGAGAAGTGTTCATGACACTATTCAAGAGCTGACTGAAAAACTTTCTGTTAGTCTCCCCTTCTACTGAAGTGGGGAGGGGTTGTGATGCAACAAAATGATTCCATGAGTCCCCTTCAAAGCAGAGCAACAGTGATAGGCCTGGCAAACACAGACAGACACTCACTGTCCATACTTTTTCCCATTTCTCTCTGCTTATCACTGTTGAACTAAAAGTTGTTCGACCTTTTTGTGTTTTACAACATATAAAGAGATCACTTTGCACTTTATGGCAAGGGGTCCTTAAGTGACAGACACAGCCTTCAGTGGTGAGAGCGGGGAGAACAGACCTTAAAAAGCTGGAAGAGGTAGGACAATATGTAGGAGAGTTTAAGTGGCGTGTCCTACTCTTCGTAATATGAATCTGGTTGAAAGCATATCTGAAGTCCACATAGCTTCTATGTTTTGAAAGAAAGCTGAAAACTGTGAGTGATGAGTAGTCTCACTGCCAGGTGTTTTGACTGCTCTAGGGATTGGGCCCCATCACCTCTGCAGATGCCCCAAGATGACATGTGAAACGATTCTGAGTCAGACAGGGAAGGGTTAGGGTTGCTGCAGTATCAAAGACCAGGAAACTGGTCGGCATTGTAGGAACAGGGAGAAGGAAGCCTAGCTCTTGTCTAATCTTTCAGGGGATAGCCAAGCTGGGCCCTCTGAACCCACAAGAAAGCAGGCTCCTAATGAAGAGCGGGGAAGGGCTGAGAACATTAGACCTAAGAGTCAGGCATCAGATGGAAAGAGAGGGGAAGACCAGGTCATAAGGCATTTGTGCAGCTGGGGAGGAGACCCTACAGAAAGACAGGCTCCAAGGGTTCGCCTTGGCAGCCTGCTCAACTTGAGACAGGCAAGCTTCTCCAGCTACTGGAGTGTCGTAGACAGTGTCAGTTTTGTGACAACTTTCTTTCAGGGGAACTAACGGAAGCTTACAAAATGTTGTGTTATGCAAAAGCTGCCTGAAATGTTTGTCTCTTTTGACTGTATGAATATAATGTGTAACCTGAAGCAAAGCTTGCATCATAAAAGTAGTTAACTCTAAGTATGACTTTATAAAGAGAACTAGGGTTGAGTATACAATATCTACCATTATCACTACAAGAAACACACAGGGCAAAATGGGACCAAAAAAACAACAGCACTTGAATAGGAGGAAATTTAGAGTTCAAAACCATCAGGGGATGATGGGTGTAATTATCTTTTTATCTGACTGATGATCAATCAGAGCAAGATGGAGAGACAACATCAAAGACACACTACAACAGCACCACACAACCATGGTTGATGCCGCCAGAAGTGCAAGAGCCAGAACTTTATATCTCCCGTGACACACAAAGCAGTAAAAGAGGAAGTAAAGAAGAAGATTATCTGAGCATTTCCAAGCTGCCTAAGGTTAAGATTTTTGTGAATGAAGTTATAGTCTATAAAATAGATACATAGTTAGCCTGTAAACTGTGTATAGTCACTTAGAGTGAAATTAATTCAGCTAATTATCCCCCCTCACCCCCTGACAGTTGATCAAATCTGATTAAAAACCTGTACAAAGACTTATTCAAATTCTTGTCTAGTTTGGCCCTTGGTTTAACAAACTCTGAATTTAGCAAGCTAAGTACACAAGTGCTACAGCATATACTACTAAAATGGAGATGATAAAAGACATAACATTTCTGAAACAAAACCTCCAACTACAAGGCCTCAAAAACAGCCTGTCAAGATCAGACAAGAATAAAGTCCAGTCAAATATGCTTTCTCTTCATTGGAGGCATGCTGTGAATTTGGTCAAATCAAGCTGGAAGCAAATCAGCCATTTCTCATCACCTAAACACTATTATTTTAGCATTTGCCAAGAACAGCAAGAGAGTAAGAACATCTGAAGCAACATTCGGAATGGCATTTTACTGGAAGCACTTTCATGTTCAATTTTCCATTCCTTCTTGACCCTGGACAATGAAAAGTCCATTCAGAAATAAAAGCTCACTGAGGGGACACTGGCTGAAGGGTCAGGTAAGGACTGGAAAGACTCCTTCCTACTGGGCAGCAAATGGGGTGAAGCAAGAATGGCTGTCCCAGGAAGAGAGCATTTCTGAAGGGCACAGGGAAAAGAACCTGCAGCCAGTGTGTGGCCATCATTCCCCAGTCGCCTGCACTCAGCCCGATACCAAGCTGAACATTGCAGGATTTGTGGGAACTATAAATTTAGTTTACATCATTGGCGTCTTTGATACATTTGTTACAATTCACTATGTACAAATCACACATCTTCCCTTCAGGTCACACATCTGTTCTGGTGATAGGTATTGTTACATTTATATCCCACATTTCCTTGATGGAAACCAAAATGGCTTATACGATGCTCCTTTTCCCTTTCTTCTCCATTTCCACCTGACAACCACCCTGTGAGTTAAGTTAGGCTGAGGGTGAGCTTAACAGCCAAGACAAGATTTGAGCCTGGGTCTCCCTAATCCAATGCCTTACCCAGCACACTAAAATGGCTTTCTATACTGCTATATCCATAATTAAAAATGTAATGTTTTATAATCTGGAAATGTATTATGTTCTCCAATTGTACATCCATTGCTTTCGTAACTATATGCAATTATGATCAAGTGAGCATCTGCTAGTGGTTGCCCTTTCTAAATTAGGGACACAGCTGAAATAATTCCCATCTCTAATCCTAATTCAGGTTGTTTGTTCGAAATTCATGGGCTGCTGAGTGTTTCCTACAGCCAAACTTCAACATTATAGTACCCATCCTGTTAAATGTTTGAGTCCACATATCTGGTATTCCTACATGGTCTCCCATCACAGTATTTGCCAGGCCAGCCCTCCTTAGCTTCTAAGGTCAAACAAAGGCGGGCATGTTCAGGGTGAAAAGTCTGTTTAAGTGGCAAAGATAAAAAGGCCTCCCTGTTCTGCATGTTGTAAATGCCTGGTGTTATGTCAATGACCAGAGTGCAACATTTTGTAACAATGCTTGTGTGTTATCATTACAATGTATAGAATTCTCTATGAAAATTCAATAACAATGTCTTTTCAAGATTCTTTACAGGATTTATACTCTTAATCTTCTCTAGTGGCAATGCACAACCAGCTAACAAAAGGAACAAACAGCGGCACAGAGATCCTTCTGCAGCAAAGTTCTTTCTGTATTGAAGGGGAACTGCAGAACTGAGGCTGAATCAGCATGGCTGGAGCTAGCTCCATTTAACTGTGTGGAAAGACAGACGGCCTGCATGGCAGATGTTATATTCTAGTCCCGTGACAAAGGGCACTTCTGTGCTGTTTCCTAACTGTCCCTCTTTCAAGCATTTTGGTTTATCCAAAAACAAACAAACCCCAGACAAAAACTCCCACCCAAGCAAATTGGAAGTTGTTCTTTCAACAGTTTTTGTTTTAAACACATAGTATTGCCATATTCTGATCCCACACAGTCTCCTGTGACTTTCAGAAAAAATCAGGTTTCAGCAAATGCAGCTCCCCCCATAAAACTAATGAAATAACAAGCAAAACTGCACTTCCCGGTCTGCTCCCTCTAAGCAATATTATACACAAAGGAGCATCCTTCAAGAGCAGTCAGTAGCAGCCTTATTAAGCGCTAAAAAATCTTTTTGGCAGCCACCTCTTCACTCTTCCATCTGAAATGTGTCAGGCATTTAGAAAGTCTCCTACCAGCCCAGGAATCCTTTCCTATGTCTACCCTTAAGCTAGATTCATAGCAAACAGATGCCTGGATGAAGGTGTGTGTTGAAGGGTTACCTTCAGCAAAAAGATCTTCATAATATTTTCTTTGGCAGTTGCACTGGGCCTTTTAGAAGGAAACCAAATGCTGTATTGCACAAAACAATGCCTTTAAGTACCTGTGGAAAAGGGTAGGGTGAGACACAGGATCATCAACACAGATGATACTGGTTCAAGGGAACTAAGGCAGTTTACAAGAGTTGGCTGTTCCTGGGCGAAAAAGGCCCAAAGTACAACTTGCTGTTTACTTGTAATTCCAAGCCTAATTTCAAAAAAGCATGCCCATCTTGACTCGCTACAGCTCTATGTCTGGAAGAAATAGAGGCTTCCAAAACAAAGGAAAGTAATGCATGCCATGGTCCAAGTTTGCAGCTAGAGCAGGATACTTCACCACGAAGAGCTGAGTTAAGGATTGACAAGCTGTGCTTTCAGCCAAGAGCACAGCTTGTAAGTTTATCAACAGTAGACACAAAGAGCACAACAACTCTGCCTCTGTACTTGTTTCATCCAAGATAAATAACGTTTCAAGCAGGCTGAGGTAAAGGCAGTGAAGAAACCCAGAGCCTTGCTGAGAAAAGATACTAGGCACTTAAGGGGGGAAAAAAATCTACAGGATCCTCTTAAAATAAGTATGTCCTGTGGGAAAACGTGTTCATCCCAGAAATGCCTGTTTTTAGAAACACCGACTTAAAATAAAATCAGGAGTGACCCACAAGGCTGAATGGAACCCTCAAACCATGTAATGGGGCCTGCCAAATGCTTAACAACCTCCCATTTTTGTGATTTCAGGCAGACACAAAATTAATTGTATTGATTGCTGAGATGGGCAAGCTGCATTTAACCATTGCCCAATGTGACCCAGCAAATGCCTCACTGCCCACGTAATCCTACAGCACAAAATTATTTCCTGTGGCAGGTGAGACACAGAGATGTCATTTTGTCTTTATTTTTTTAAAGGAAAATGGTCTGCCAGAAATTACAGCTCCAGGGCTGAACAGCAATGTATAGGACACCGCCTGAAGAGTCATCCCCAGCGCCTCCATTAACCCCTGCCCAACCCACCCAAGCTTCTTGTGCAGAGAAGCTGTGCTACGTGAGTGAGGCTCAGAAGCATCAGTGCTTACAGCTGTGGCCTTTAGCACTTGGCCTGAGCTTAGATCCCTGCCTTGGCTTGCAGGCTCACATTGTTCTGTCACTCCAAGGCTAAGATGTGGAGGCCAGAACATCCCAGCTGCTCTGCTGCAGCAGTGCCTCATATGATGGGGCCACTAATACAGTGAAAGATTGCAACAGGCACTTCTTGTTTGGTTTAGTGGAGGAGATACAAAACTATCTTGTCGGCTGAAGGAGGAAATAACCCTTTGAAAGGTATTACAATTATTTTTTCCTTTGGCAGGAATCCAGTCCAGACAACTTAGGAGAAAAAAAGGAGGTGGTTCTAGTAGAACAAAACTCTATTGGATGAAATAAATTACACCAAAATTTTTCTTCTTTCCTTTTTGCTTTTTTTTTGGTGGGGGGGGAGTGGAGGTGAGGTGTTCTTTGCTTAGTCAAACTGAAGAAGAAAAAGTGCAGAGTTATAATTTCTGCTTCTGGATTTCAGTAGATCTAGTTTTTGATTTCTCGCCGTCTGTCTGGTTCTATCCCTGCAAATGAACCTCTGACTTCATCCTTTACCTCAAGAAAGACACATTCCAGGCTGTGTCAGTCTCTAATGACCTACTGCTACGTTTAGGTGAACACTGAACAACAGTGGGCCCTACTTTTGAAAGGACATCAGCACTGGGCTTAAGCCTAGGGTAGGGTGGCCAGTTGCAAACCATGAAACAAGAGAACATGCCTCTTTAAAAGAGGATGCCCCTTTAAATAAAATTTAGCTTTGCTAATGTTAGGTGTGGAAACAAATTTAGATTTAATTACTATAATTTAAATGGGGATCTAGTCTCATCAGAGTGTGGAAGATTGTGGTCAGGGGACTTGCCTTGCTCAATCTGCTGCTAAAGTGTTGTTGGTGAGGAACTTCAGAGCCTAATGGCTCTTTCCAATAGTCCTTGCTTTTGCCCCTCATTCCTCTCCATCCTTTTTCTTTCTATGTTGTGTCTTTTAGTTTGAAAACCTGAGGCAAGGACTATTTTATTGCTGACATTTGTAGGCTGCTTTGGAAACTTTTTGAAGTTAGTAGGGGAAAATGCTTCAAATAAATGATTAATGAATGAATCAATGTTGAAGTCCATAAATCAGTACAATATAACAATTTTGCAACAATTTGTAGCATTTAATTTATACACCACTAATGTGATTAAATTTCAAAAATGTAACGAAGTTACCATTCTCAAAGTATTTTTAACACAGTCCTGCTACAACACTGATGAGGTATGCTGGCAGTTCTCCTAACTAAGGCAAATCACAGCAGTTCTTGTGATTCAAACTGAAGCTCCAAACTCAGACTCTACAACCAGCCCAGCTTCAGCTTGACCGATTTCTGTTTAGCCAGCCTACATTGCAACATCACTAATTAATGAGCTTCTTACAACTCGTACGGAGTACAGTTCACAAGTAAGCCTGCAGTGTTTTGCTACGGCAAAACAACTCCTATTTTCAGCAGCAAAGCAATCAGTTTTATAGGCTTGAATCCCAATGTGAACAGAAGGAAGCTCCTGCAAGTCGACTTATTCCTCCCCTCTCCAGCTGTTTGAACCCTTTTTGAAGAGCTACTTTCTGTGAGCAGAGTTTATGCCCAGTGCTTCTGACCTATTTGGGGAAATCCTCTCTCCCCAGCAACCTCAAGAACCTTGTCCTGTGCTTTTTCCAGAGTAACCCCTGAGCTTTCTGGGAGGCTTTCGGTGGTACAGGCTTCAGGGAAGAAAGGGATGAAAAAGCAAGTTCTACTCACTCACAGGGGTTTGGATCAAAGCCATAGCATCCACATGAGATGGATTACACCATTGTTATCACACCATTGTTACAATGGGGTGGCAGTCTTAGTTTAAAGGACCAGAACCTCTGGACTGCAGGCCTAATCCAGCCTATGGTGCATCCCAATCTGGCCCATGCAGCCTCTTGGAGCTCTTCCAGGGGATGGCATTTAGGCTCAATCCCTGCCCCCTAAAGGAATTCTCCTGGAAGACGTACCCCAGCTGCTGTCTCTGATCAGGGACTAGAAATAGCAGTGAGGATTGCTCTGCTCATGCACCAACAGTGAAACCTGGTCGCTGGCCCAAGGGTGCAGTGGGAGATCCACTCAGTGCCTGACATCAGCTGAGTGTGGCTGTGCCCATGGACATCAGGAGAGAGGTCATTTCCACCTGATATATGGCCTCATGTGGGCTGCTTGTGGGATCATTCAGGCCCCTACATGTGGGGGAAGCATAAGGCACATCCGAAGCTCCAGTATGCCTGGGACTCTCATCAGTGGCCAAGTTTACAGGATGAATCTACCTCTGGTAATGCAAATGTTATCCAACCAATTGCAGCTTCTACTTCAACAGGCTTTCCCTGAAAGATTCCTTTGAAAGAAAAGTTGCAAACTTTCCCCATTAAAAAGAAGAATTTGCAAATCAATTTTATTACAGACCTGGAACAGTCCAAGACCGCGGCCACTTGCAGAAACTGTGACTTCCACTGGCTGTGTAGCTGCAATCTAAAAGAAATTGTAATCTTTAGAATGCTCAGAAAAACCTAATGAACTGGATGCACTGGTAGAAAAATCCATACTTCTTCATGATAGTACCTCCTTGGTTTGGAGAACAAAACAGTTTTCAGGATTGATTCTGAATACAGCTGGATTTGGTTCACTAGACGCATCAACAGTTACATCCATTTCTGGTTTCATGTCAGGAGTATGTATTGCAGAGGCACTCAAAGCATGCAAGGCCACAATAGTGTCCTGTTAACAGAAGGACGATCAATGCATTTTTAATATGAACATTTGCCAAGGAAGTAGATGCCAGCCTCCCTTGTAGTAAAATTCTCTTAATCTTAGGATTAATTCACACAGGAGCTTCTGACACAACTCTTACACTAAATATTCAAGGAAATCATGGTAGCATAAGTGGAGTACCCAGGTGGTCTCCTATGCAATGGACATATCACAGCCTACTTTGCTGAGGCTGGGTGCTGCATCAGCTGCTCTCAGACCATGCCAGGAGCCCATGCACATTTAAATGGTGTATTTGACATAAATGGGGTTTCTGACTGGCTCTCCTGAGAATGTCTACATTTTATCTCTACAAACAGTTACATAAGAATTTTTGGCATCCCAAACAACATTGCACTGTTAATTCATCAGTGCTTTGTAAGTTTGCAGTCTTAGACTTTAAATGAACTTCTGCATGGGTGGCAGCACATAAAAATGATTAATTTTGGAAAAAAGATCAATGCAGTTGATTTTGCATAGATGATTATTTTACCTGTGTAGAAGAAAAACCTCCCAGGTGGTTCCTCTGCTGACTTAGCCATTTCATGATAGGGAACCCTTCTAGTAGTCTTTCTTGTTTAGCATGAGCCAAGAGAGCATAACCTGCAGTCTCAATATCTATGGAACGTGGCTGCCAAGAATCAGACAGTTCAGAAGAGGGTGATATCCAGAATCTGAGTTCTCCTGACAAAGAAAAACAAACTTTCACAGAAGGATGGACAGGAAAAATAACAACAACATAGGAAGGTTCTAATCTTCTGAAGCTTATTTGCAGACAATGTCAAGGATGAATTAAAATGTTTTTCTGCTAAGAACATAAGAACAACCATGCTAGATCAGACCAAACATCCATCTAGTCTAGCATCCTATTCAGCCAGTGACCAACCAGTGGAAACCTACAAGCAAGACACGGGAGGAACAGTATCCTCCCAGTTCATGCTCCAAAGCATCTGCAGCACACAGGCCTACAGCTTCTGATACCAGCTTCTGATTCTTAATCACCTAATTTTAAGACACGTCATTCATAGGCGTTACTGGTCAACAACGTTTCAGACATGCCATTGCAACAACTAGAGTTTGCTATGGAGGGTAATCTCAAGAGGGAGCTGCACCTAATCCGGTATTTCTGGTAAGTGTAACTGTGTTATGTATACCCTTTCATGCACCTGTTTGCCATATTCCCACTCACCCCTGTAGGTCAGGTTTGCTACTTGCCCTGATGTCTGCAGCAAGCAAAACTTATGTAATCCTATGGGCCAATAACTCTCTTAGTGCAGTGGCATAGTAACAAAGCACTTTGTGATGAACTTGACAGATAAAAATGACAGCCTATGAAACTCAAAGATAGGGAAGAATTCCTAGTATTCTCATTTTTTTTAAATTAGAGTGGGAATTTTGCAATTAGTGGGAACAGGGGTAGCTGTAAAATATCCAACTGCTTCTATAGGTCCAATTCACATTTTCTTTAGGATTTAATGAGAAGCACTATTCAGGAAATAATTTATTTAAAATTATTAATTAAATTACCTAAATAATAGCAAATCTTTTCCCTTGAACTGCATGGCTTTACTGTTAGTTAATTTAATGCACTTGTTTAAAGTTTTCAATCTTTTTTAGGAGGCTGAAAGGGGGCATAGTTTGTGTGAAGTTACACCACCATTTAATTGGACTTTTTGTGGTATCTTATACTTGTTTCTGTTCTAATGTACTTGCAAATCTCTCCCCCTGCCACCCTCCATCAAGTATAACTGATAAACAAGATTATTTGGCCCAATAATTATGTAAATATTTTCCTAGGTAAAGGCTATCTTGTGCTACCTTGTTCTGATCTCTTATTCAGTGTGTCCAGAGCAGTCTTTGATTCTGCACTCCTTGACAGTGATAAAGCATAAGTCACAAGAGCCAATGTATAATTATCTGGTATGCCTTCACTTAATTTAAATTCCAGAAAGTTCAGTGCTCTTCGTATATTCTCCGCATACTGCAGAAACAGAGATAACATGTTACTATTGGCCTGTACCCAACCAAATGATGACCACAGCAAAATGATAAGCAGCAAATCTAAAGGATACAAGAGGCTAATGTCAGGACTGTGCATATGCCACAATTCCACAGCACACAAAAAGCCAAAGAGTGTTAGCTATGTTCAATAAGTCACTGCCTGAGACTCTCCACTTTCAACAACTTTCTAGCCCTTTTGTGAGAGAAGACCTACTTGACAGTATATGGACAGCTCAGCAGGCACAGCATGTTAGCGGAGAGAGTGGGCATTCTGTGCCTTGCAAGGGTCCTTGCCCTTCTGTCCAAGGAGTGAGGTACTGAAGTAGGCTGGCTCAACTTCTCAGGAAAGAGCTCAGTAGAGCATATACTTTCTATGCAGAAGGCCCCAAGTTCAGTCCCTAGCATGTCTAGGTAGGACTGAAAAAAAGTCTTGTCTGGAATACATAAAGTCACTGGTAGTCAGTGCAGATCCAACCCAATGACCAGATGGACTGCATGGCCAGAGGCAGCAAAAGGCAGCTTCATAAATAAACCACTCCCTTTCTGGTAGAATTCTGCTTTACTATACTATCAAACTGCATTACAACTTTGCTATTTTTTCAATCACAGCAACGTTACCTTAGTATTAGAATTACCTTATCTGTTTGGTATTCCAATAGTGCGGCCGTAATATAAGCTGTAAGTGAAACTGGGGTATTAGTGCCTCCTTGCAGTTCAGTATGTAATAATCTTCCAGGCTCCTCAAATTCTCCACTGGTTTTCTGATGGCTCACAATCCAAGAAGCTGTTGCCTCCAGAATATATGGATCAATATCTATGAATGGCTGGGCTTGAATGAAACTTCTTAATACAAAAGCTGATAACCTAGAGTTAAATGATCATTGAACACACTGGATTGAACACTTTCACAGGTCTCTTTCCATTTAACAAAAATTGCTATTTAAGTTGCATCAGGGACAAACAATTTGTAAAAGAAGTATTACAAATATACGTACTGGAAGGCTGAAGCAAAGTGTGCATATCAACTGCATCTAATTAACTTTGCTTACTTATGACATATTTTTTCTGAGTAAGAGATTTCGGCCTGGTTCTCTAAACTGTCCAGATGGGATGCCCAGAAATGAACCATATGTGTAAGCTGCTCTGAACTCTTTAGAGGAGAAACCAAGTGTAAGTATTAATAGATGGCTAAATATATTTGGGGAATATAGTAAAATTGATTTAACATATTCTTGCCTCTCCATTTGTCCACTGTGACACATAGAGGCTAGAGCGTATGGATCACAAAACTTCAAAAGGGATTCCAGAAGGTTAGCCAAAACTGTGCAAGAGGAGTGCTGCATGTGGACTACCTAAGTGGTCATGAAGTAAACTGCAGTCACTAAAAAGCTCCAGCAGGAATTAATCGTTGCTGGTTGCTTAGCGGATCAGGAGAAAATGCTTGAAACTTGATAATTACAAAACCATTCGTACTACATGTTTGCTTACAGGGGGTGGGAGCAGAACACTCACCATGTACTTCCAGAATTGTCACTGTTTCCAAAAGCACTGAAAGAGCCATCATCCCTTTGGTAGAGAAGCTCTCGTTGGTAGCCTGAAGAAATGAAACAGGAGAACAGTATGAGCTGGAATGACGTTATCAGCTCTCCACTTGGCTGAGAGCGAGAGCCACAGAGTAAGAGCCACAATCCATGAAGCAGACTCCTTTACTAAAGCAGTTTTACAGGCTTACATTTTCAAATAGCAAAATGCTATAAATTGCATGAACAACGTAATGGGAGGATGAGTGGGTACATGATACAGACACAAAAGGAAAAGATTGGTTTGCAATAATAATAATGCTGAAAAGCATTTGCAGAGACTGTTATTAATTGATTCATTAGCATTTAGATTCATTTGTGGCTAAAATACTTAACCTGCTGATCAACACATGCAGTTGCTGTGAGCCATGCAGAAAGCTTCAGCGACTGACAGTATAAAAGTTCCATAAACAAATAAATAAATTTATAGCCAGCAAGTTGAGGCAGGGACATATTCTGGAACCTCTACTGACTGTGCTCAATTAGAAAGATGGATTACACATTTCAAAACTGTATCCAGCGAATCACAGCCTCTTACCTACATGTGGACATACAGGGTAAGTGGCATCATTAGTGTGTTCTTACACTGTGCCCTCTGTTCACTGAACCATGACAATCCTATATTTTCACATCTCCTAAGGAACTGGTCAATAATCACAAATCATCATACTGCCCTGCGCTCGCTCACTCGCTCTGTGTGTGTGTGTGTGTGTGTGTGTGTGTGAGCTCTCTTCCTGTTCTGGAAAATCAGATCACTGCAAGCAAAGAAAGGAAGACAGATGTGACTAGGGTAAAAACAAGAAAGAAAAGAAAAGGCATTCAGTGCAAATAAAGGGTGTAGCACTAATAACAGTACGTAACAAACAGATATAGCAAGAACATAGTACAATCACAAGGCTAAGCTGAAAAAAGAAAAACTGGCTGGGTCCGCACATCACAATCAAACTTGGAATTAAACTGTGGTGGGCCAATTGTAGTGGGTTCCCCATGGACTGTTAGCCCCTCTTCCTACCAAGGGTATCAAAGGGGACACCACAGGAGAAATAGGCTGCTCCCAATTTCCCCACCACTAGCCATTTCAGGCTTGCAACAGCTTTTTTCTCGTAAACTATTTTCATTCTCCTCCCCTCCAGGGATCACAAAAAGCAGCTATCAAGCCAGCTTTTGCAAACCCCATTTAACAGCTATGAGCAGTCCCTTCAAAGGGCCCCAGTGTCATGCTGAAATGAGTGTTGGTGGCTGGCAAACTTTAATTTCAAGTTTTGCTCACAAAAATGTGCACATTTGAAATAATTATTTTAATATAGTTTTAGAGCCTGAATTTGTAGGAATCCAAGCATATGATTTAAAATTTCTTTTATGTTATTCTGTCATGTAAAAGAATATATCATTAAAGTGTAAGTATGAGCCAATGTGGTGGTTTGGTGAGTGGTGAACAAGAACTCAGGAGATACAAGTTGATCCAAGTACTATGTAAGCCATCTTAGGTTCTTTGCAAGAAAAAGGTGGCTATAAGTATAATGCAAAATAAATAAATAAAGTTTGGCCTCAGGAGAAGGACCATAGGAAACAAATGAACAAACAAGCATAAAGAATGCATATCCTTGTTTTAAAATTAAAGTTAAAGATTGTCTTAAATCTCCAAGCCAAGCATGATTTAAGCAAACTATGCATTATTGAATGCTAATTTAACAATGCAGTTATGAATAATTTAAAAATAGCTTTAATAAAACTAATGTTTGAAGAATTGAAAACATTATGGCAGTATAAATCAATCTACAGGGAGTGACAGATTGCTTGCAAACTTCAAAGAACTTGCTTCAAAAACAGATGTTCATTATTTTTAAAACTAACTGTGTGACTTTTGGGTGGCCAGTGGCCAGTTGTCAGGCCAAATACAACCCCTGGAGTTCTACAAACCAAACAAAACTATTCCAGTGGTCTTTGTTCCTTTTCTTTGCAGGAGACTGAACTGGGATTCAAGTCCAAATTTAGTTAAGTCAACAGACTTAAACTAGAGCCTTGGCCTGTTGTGTTCAAAAAAAGATACAACTTGTGTGATGCAAGAACTTGGAAGCTAGGATTGTGTATGCTTTAATTGCATATACAAGTAGAAGAAAAGCAGATAACATTGCACGGCATTGTCTAAGAATCTCAGCTTTCTTACCTTTTTTTTTAAGTGTCTATAGCTTATGATTATGGAGAGTGTGGGCAATTCAGAATTTGGGTTACCTTGGCACGAGGGTAACCCAATGGGGAAAGTATTTCACAGAACCCTAGCTATTCCTAACCGTGACAGTCTTCTTTTGGCAAACTTTCAAGTTTCACACTCACATTTCCTTCAGAAAAAGCAAGAAAGCTTACAGTGAACTTTAAGCATTCATTTGAACTAAACAAGATCCACCTTAGCCTTTTAAGGACTCATGAAAAGTTTTAAAATTATAGTCGTTCATTGGCTTGCTGTGTCCATGCAAAGGTGTCATTTTTATCTTCAGTAGGGACGAATACAGACAGCCACTTACCGACAGGTGACATAACACAATGGGCATGTAAGCCAGCCCCCTATTTCACCTTGGCAAGTGACTGGAAGGAAATCATGAGAAATGAATTCTTGCTGATATATACTCTGTACCATCAACTGTGTAGTTAGGACGAGGGGGTACATCTCTTGCACCACTCTTGAAAACTTCTCAGCAAACAATATATGACAAAAACACCCCCTAAACAGCAACTTGGACACATGCACATCATACATGTACAGAAAAGAAAATAGGAAGAAGAGGATGATACATTCTCTGATACCAGAAATCTAATGGTACATGAATATAGTTAAATTTCACTGTGAAATCCATATAAGATTTTCTGCAAACTGAACACGAGTATAGTAAGCAACTGAAGGTATGTGAATACAGGCCATGGCATGTGTCAGTTACAACAACTCTATTCTGGTGACTACCCTTTTTCCATATTGTGTCTGCTTTTTTTTTTCCCACACTAATTTCCACATATTTGAACCATGGATGAGGCACAAAGAAGGCAAACACAATCCATGCAGGGAGTGCCGGTCTCTCAGTAATATCATGACTTAGAAACACAGAAACAGAGTGAGTCAGAAGGGGTCTCCCGGGCCATCTAGTCTGACCCCCGGCTCCAACCGGCTCTGCTCACGACTTCTCACAGGAAGCCATTTCCTATGGTCTCATTTCTAGAATGAAAAGTTGGTGTAAGAGCATTTAGGGGAAAAAACCTCACATTAAATGGCAGACTTGCCTCCAAGGACATATTCCCTACCTTCCCTCATATATGACACAGCTTTTGATTTGAGGCTCGACTTCAGATTGTCTCTTTTAGTCAGGTAGTCCAGGACATAAATATTAGGTGCAAAATTGATCATGTTCTGCTCCCCACAGCCATAAGGCATCTTGATCAGTGACTCTATACCATTAATGGAAGGGCCGAGGATGTCACCTGAAACATACAGAGGACAACATATGGAAGTATCAGGATAACGATCATAGTAAAACACTCATGCCATATACTTCTAAGCTACCTGACCCAATTAACTTTGTTTTCTTTTAAATTAAAGAACCCACACAGCACTCACATGCATATAACGCAATGCAGCCAGCACACAGTCATTGATGTTGCAGTAGTTATAAATATTTTATATCACATCCACAAGTAACAGTGAATGGTCTGGAAGTATTAAAGTTTCAGCATGGCTGACAGTGAGCAGGTATAGACTTTATTATGCTCTTATACATCAGACCACTGGGAGCTCCACATAAGAGCAGAATAAATGTTTACAATTTTCAGGTAATGGTATATAAATTTGACAACACCTGCAACAGAGAAAATATTCAAAAACGTCCCATGGGTACAGAAAAACCTATTAAACCAGCAAAACAGCTAAGTTAGTGCACTGGCAATAAATAGGGCATTAAAATTGATCAGTTACATGAGAATGGTAAACAGAACTAACTCAAGAACATTTTCTTTTAACTTTTCCAGCAATTCTCACAGACAAAGGATAATCCGTTTAAGCAAAACCAGTCACAATGTCATACCAAACACTAAATAATTGCATGCTGATTAATTCAGCAATCAGACAAAGTACAGTCAATTTTATGTTTATTTTTAAGTTGCCAGTAGGTGCCAAAACAAAGATATGAAGAAGAATGAGAACTAGAATGCTTACCAATAACAGTAACTTGTACTCTTTCACTGCCAGGTACTACATCAGAGGGGAAAGTAAAATTCAATGTTTCAACAAGTTTGGGCAAGTCCAAAATAAGTGCCTGAGAATGAAATTGTTCTACTCCTTCTGCCTAATAACCAAAACAAACAACAAGCAAAGATCAGATGAATGTCCAATCATTATGATATAGCAATAGACATGGCTGATGAGTATCTCCATGTTCCTAATACTGGGGGTCTCTAAAACACACAATGCTGATAATGATAAATGAAAGAAACATGTAGCAAGTGGATCAATAAATCTTCCCATGCATGTTTGCTTCAAAGGAACTGACAGAATAGCTTGCATACTATCACAACTAAATCTTATCACTAAATCCTTTTCAAGCCAAATAACCAGTTCTTATCGCTACATGGACTGCTAAGATAGTCACAGAGAGAAATTATGTTCTCAAATTTAAGTTCATTGGTATGCTGAGAACATCACAAAGCTTCTTTGCTGTTCTATCAATGCCTAAACAGATCCTTTGGGACACTTCAAACATTCCTGGATTCATAAATCACTGGTTATGAAGATTGTGGCTTAGGATTCTGGCTATTTAAGTTACACTGACCCAGAATTCCTAATTTTAGAGGTATTGTGCTTTGAAGAAACCTGGATCATTGTATCAATCTGGGATCTCTGATACAAAAGCAGAGGGTCTAAGGGATGACTATGCATGCCAGACATTCATACTAAGCTTCACAAATCATGAAGATTTATTATTTATTTTATTATTTTATTTGAAACATTTGTATGCCATCCTTTGCGAGAGCCTTATGAAGGGAAGGTTATGTCCCAAATGCTTGCATGCTTTCACACTAATCTTCTAAACTAATGTTGCATTAAAGAGTACTGTTGTCTGCATATATTGCCTGTCTGAGCATTAGCAACCTCAGCTTCCAGGCTTGGAAACAAATGAACTTACAAAGAAATGTTCACCAAGATTATATATATCTTGTTATTACACAAAGCCTATGTGGGCATCTATACAGAAAGTTTGCACTTAAAAAATTAGGAGCCCAGGCTAACATAACAAAAATCTAAATAAAATGTGCATGTGCTGATATATGTAAATTTATAAATAATTACTAGCTCTTATTAATTGGCTCTCCTTCATGGATCACTGCCTTGTCATGGCGAAGGGGCTTGCGTAGCTCAATGAAGCTATGAGCTATGCTGTGCAGGGCCACCCAAGATGGACAGGTCATAGCAAAGAGCTCTGACAAAACGTGATCCACTGGAGAAGGAAATGGCAACCCACTCCAGTATCTTTGCCATGAAAACCCCATGGACAGTACCAAAAGGCAAAAAGACATGACGCCAGAAGATGAGCCCCTCAGGTCAGAAGGTGTCCAATATGCTACTGGGGAAGAGCGGAGGGCTAGTACTAGTAGCACCAGAAAGAATGAAGCGACTGGGTCAAAGCCAAAAGGACACTCAGTTGCAGATTTATCTGGTGGTGAAAGGAGAGTCTGATGCTGTAAAGATCTATACTCCATAGGAACCTGGAATGTAAGATCCATGAATCTTACAAGCTGGATGTGGTCAAACAAGAGATGACAAGACTGAACATCAACATCTTAGGAATCAGTGAATTAAAATGGACAGGAATGGGTGAATTTAATTCAGATGACCAGGTATACTACTGTGGACAAGAATCCCTCGGAAGCAATGGAGAAGCCTTCATAGTCAATAAAAGAGTAGGAAAAGCAGGACTGGGATACAATCTCCAAAATGATCTCAGTTAGAATCCAAGGCAAACCATTCAACATCACAATAGTCCAAGTCTATGCCCCAACCACTGGTGCTGAAGAGGCAGAAGTTGACCGGTTCTATGAAGGCCTACAACACCTTCTAGAATTAACAGCCAAAGATGATGTCCTTATCATCATGGGGGATTGGAATGCTAAAGTAGGAAGCCAAAGATAACCGGAATAACAGACAAGTTTGGCCTTGGAGTACAAAATGAAGCAGGGCAAAGAGTGGCAGAATTTTGTCAAGAGATTACGATGGTCATAGCAAACACTCTTTTCCAACAACCCAAGAGACGACTCTACACATGGACATCACCAGACAGTCAACACAGAAATCTGATTGACTATGTGTTCTGCAGCCAAAGATGGAGAAGCTCTATACAGTCAGTAAAAATTAGACCAGGAGCTGACTGTGGCTCAGATCATGAGCTTCCGGTTGCAAAATGTAGGCTTAAATTGAAGAAAGTAGGGAAAAGCACTAGGCCACTCAGGTATGACCTAAATCATATTCCTGATTAATATACAGTAGAGGTAACAAATAGGTTTAAGGAATTAGATCTGATAGACAGAGTGCCTGAAGAACTATGGATGGAGGTTCGCAACATTGTACAAGAGGTAGCAACTAAAGCCATCCCAAAGAAAAAGAAATGCAAGAAAGCAAAATGGCTGTCAGGAAGTTTTACAAATAGCTGAGGAAAGAAGGGAAGTGAAAGGCAAGGGAGAAAAAGAAAGATACAAACAGTTAAATGCAGAATTCCAGAGAATAGCTAGAAGAGATGAGAATGCCTTCTTCAATGAACAGTGCAAAGAAATAGAAGGAAACAATAGAATAGGGAGGACCAGAGAGCTCTTTAAGAAAATTGGAGATAAGAAGGGAACAGTTCATGCAAAGATGGGCATGATAAAGGACCAAAAGGGCAGGGACCTAACAGAGGCAGAAGAGATGGCATGATTACACAGAGGAACTATACAAGAAAGCTTAACATCCCTGATAACCACAATGGGGTGGTCACTGACCTTGAGCCAGACATCCTGGAATGTGAAGTCAAATGGGCCTTAGGAAGTCTGAGCAACAACAAAGCTAGTGGACGTGACAGTATTCCAGCTGAGCTATTCAAAATCTTAAAAGATGATACAGTAAAAGTGTTACACTCAATATGCCAGCAAATTTGGAAAACTCAACAGAGTGGCCACAGGATTGGAAAAGGTCAATTTACATTCCGATCCCAAAGAAGGGCAATGCCAAAGAATGTTCAAACTACCACACCATTGCACTCATTTCACATGCTAGCAAAGTGATGCTCAAAATCCTACAAGCCAGGCTCCAGCAGTATGTGGACCAAGAACCTCCAGAAGTACAGGCAGGATTTCAAAGAGGGAGAGGAACTAGAGATCAAATTGCCAACATACTCTGGATCATGGAGAAAGCTAGGGAGTTCCAGAAAAACATCTACTTTTGCTTCATTGACTATGCTAAAGCCTTAGATGTGGATCACAACAAATTGTGGCAAGTTCTTAAAATGATGGGAGTACCTGACCATCTTATTTGTCTCTTGAGAAACCTATATGAGGGTCAAGAAGCAACAGTGAGAACTGGGCACGGAACCACTGATTGGTTCAAAATTGAGAAAGGAGTTTGGCAAGACTGTATACTGTCGCCCTGCCTATTTAACTTATATGCAGAGCACATCATGAGAAAGGTGGGCCTAGATGAATCACCAGTTGGAATTAAGATTGCCAGGAGAAATATCAACAACCTCAGATATGCAGATGATACCACTCTCATGGCAGAAAGCGAAGTGGAACTAAAGAGCCTCTTGATGCAGGTGAAGGAGGAGAGCGCAAAAGTTGGCTTGAAACTCAACATTAAGAAAACTAAGATCATGGCATCCGGTCCTCTCACTTCCTGGCAAATAGATGGGGAAGAAATGGAGGCAGTGACAGATTTTATTTTCCTGGCCGCCAAGATCACCACAGACGGGGACTGCAGCCAAGAAATTAAAAGACACTTGCTCCTTGCGAGGAAAGCTATGGCAACTCTAGACAGCATACTAAAAAGCAGAGACATCACCCTGCCATCAAAAGTGCGTATAGTCAAGGCTATGGTTTTCCCAGTTGCAATGTATGGCTGTGAAAGTTGGACCATAAGGAAGGCTGAGCGCCAAAGGATTGAGGCCTTTGAATTGTGGTGCTGGAGGAGACTCTTGCGAGTCCCTTGGACCGCAAGGTGATCAAACCAGTCAGTCCTAGAGGAGATCAACCTTGACTGCTCTTTAGAAGGCCAGATCCTGAAGATGAAACTCAAATATTCTGGCCACCTAATGAGAAGGAAGGACTCCCTGGAGAAGAGCCTAATGCTGGGAACAATAGATGGCAAAAGGAGGGGACTGCAGAGATTGAGGTGGCTGGATGGAGTCACTGAAGCAGTTGGTGTGAGCTTGAGTGGACTCTGGGGGATGGTGGAGGACAGGAAGGCCTGGAGGAATGTTGTCTATGGGGTTGCGATAGGTCGGACACGACGTCGCGACTAACAACAACAACAACATTAACTGGCTAATGAATTTGTCCTCAAATACCATATATTTCCCCTGTTCCTTGATCTGGATCATTCCAGGTCACTGGTTCCTCCTCAATCAGAATTAATTTGCAAAGATAGGGAAAAAAGGAAAGAGTGGCTCATGGTCTTGCCATGAGCTTACCTCTACAGCCCCTAAAAATGGAAAGTATGCACCAAAATGGAGCTCCAAAAGTGCCATTTCCGCTGCCATGAGATCATGGCAAAAGCATGACATCATGATCCTAGCTCGATCCCACGAGGCATAATGTATGGCAGGTGCAGATACCATTGGTCGCCATCCTATATGACACACTGGGTTACATGACAGGGCCTTAAAAATACGTGTCATTGAAGGCTTTATACATTTCCCATAATTATTTGAATTAGCAAAATGAGAACTGTGAACCCTCTTTCAGCATGCTTCACTTGTCCCACATGCACAGCCTTTATTGTGGCTGTTTTAAATTACCTTCACTGTTACTTTCTGGAGGAGTGCATCAGACGCAATGGGTGATATTGCTGTCACCCTAATTGGAATCTCTCCAATTTGCTTTGGTTTTATTGGGAAAATGACCGTCTTCCCATGGTCACTTGGTATCCATACTGATCTCTGGTTTCCCATGGCATTTATATCATTAGAGATAATGAGAATTTCAAAGGTGTCACTTGTATCAAGGGTCACTGTAGCCTACAAAACAGAAACGCTTAATTAATGTTTTTCTACTACTAGCAAACACAGTTAATGGGACAGAACTCTTGTGAACTTTTTGTTTTTGCAGTTCTCCTAATCAAAGGTACAGAAAGGATCTCACAATGATATGAATACAGATTCTTGGTCAGCAAACATAAACATAAACTTTAGACTATCTAGCAACACCCAAGGAAAATGCAAACCAGAAAAAAAGGGAGGAATAGGCAACCAGGAACTAGAACTGAAGGGTGGAACAGCGAAGAGATTTGAAAAGCACAAAAGCAAAATAACTTTTCGGAGAAGTCTCTCTGGCAATAAGGGACTCCTGAACCTGTGATTTTTCTAAGGATAGCGCTAGTAAAACCATGCTCAAAACAGAGGTCTCACACACCCCGTAACTGAATGACCTATGAAGCAGCATACAGATATACACAGACAAACATTTAGCCATAAGTGCATTTGTCAGAGTGGAGAAGCTGACTATTTCAATCGTTACTTATTTTACTGTTTTATCACAAAGGAAATTCATGATATATGCCTGATTGTTCCAAAATTCAGTTTTTCCAAAATTCTCATTTTTATTAAGTTCTCATGAGAGTTCAATTATTACAATGTGTTAGCTTTTATAAGTATTTTATATTTGTAAAGTAAAAAATTGAAGGATCATACCATAGATTGCCAAATTCATTTTCAATGAATTTTAACTAATTTTAATTAGTTTAAAATGGCATGCTTGTTTAAATTATTTTAATATTTTCTGTATAAAAATAAGTTGGATAATTGCAAAATTTGTAAATGTTCATTATTTATTTCTTTACTACATGTAATTCTCACCTTTTTCATTCCAAGGAGTTCATTAGATGCATGTAATTCATTTTATATAATAGTTTTAACAATTTCATAATTTCAGAAGCTTTTACTCATCTCACAAAAGTGCAGCAACCTTCTACTCCTGTTGAAATATACATAATGTCTGAAGGGTTCATTATGGAAAGGTATGAGAAAGCCTCTGAAGAAGGGTTTGTATTTCTAAAATGTATTTGATAGGATAAATATTTTAGGCACTTTAATAATCTTTTCTCTTTTGGCTCTGTGCAGCATCCAGTGCTTTCCCCTTTTATTGAGTACTAAATGTGTTTAGGATTGCAGCATAAGAAAACCAAAACAATGTAATTGTAAATTGTTCCACAACTCTGTAAATGGAGAAAAATAGATTTTTCTGTTCCCTACAGCCAGTAACCAGTTGGCATAAGCAGACTCTTCCGTATTAGCAAAGGAATTAGCAACAACAATATTTTACCTCAGTGCTTTCTTTCAAATAATTGAATATGCTGACTTCCAATATAAATGCTTCTCCTCTTGTAACACTAGGAGGAAGGTTTAGGGAAACAAAAAAGGGCTGGAAGACTTCTAACTGGAAAACAAAAGTAACACAACAGTGAACCCTTGTGGTGTATAGTTTACTTGACAGAATACAATTAAGAGTACGTGGGTTAACTGGTAGGTTGTTTAACACCTAACAATGAAGCACTCTAAATTCACACATCATGTTCAACAATGTAAGATGCAGCTGGTCCTGGGTTGCTGCCGAAAAGCTGATATGAGAAGCATTCAGAAGGTGGAGTGCTTATGCATTCTGGTTTATGCATGGTAAACCATGGTTTGGTTGATTAATTAACCTGCAATTTTCCATTACATGTGAACACATCCATTCTCACATTAAAATTTCTCAGCAGACCTTGACATAAAAACAGGTATTTTCCTGTTAAGAGTTACCTGGTAAAATCTGGTATCAGGCTGCAACACAGTGCGGTGCAAACCTCTTTACAAACTAGGGGCATAATTCACAGAGCCTATTTAGTTATACTTTGCATTTCTACAAATCAGGTTAACTGAAGTACCTCAACATGGTTTTAAGGCAATCATATCTATCATTAAACAAGTATGCTTTTCCCACAGATGCAGGAAGCAAGTGGGGTCCTTGTGCCCCACCCAGGCCAGATTTTCAAAGCATGGAACTCCAAACACTTCTGCATCATCCCCTCAGTCCAACATAAAAAGAGAGAGGTTACTTTCTACCTACCTAGCATTAAACTTAACTCTGTGGGCCCCTGAACTTTACATGGTAGAGTCTGATGAGTTCTTAAAGACTTTCTGAAATGTGCACGTCACCTACAGTTAAACAGGAACTACTGACTGCAACATAAAAATGTAAGGTACTGGTTCAGGGGGTAAATTAACTATATTAATAATGCATTTTCATTAAAGCAGATAAAATGTTATGGCTGTCATACAAGCAGGGTTGCCATACTGGCATCGTGACCTTTCTCATCTGACCAGTAAACCATGTTGTTTACTGGCAAGTAGCATACAGTCTGCCCAAGACATTCTCCTGCCTGAAGTAGAATCACAAATCGAGATGCGCAGAATCTAAGCCTTGCCAAATTATTTTGGCACATGTGTAGGGAATCCCACAAGTGCCTGTCCTTGGAGTAAAAAATAGAATAAACAACTTACTGTGTTTTTGTGACATTGACAACCAGCTGCATCAGGCATTACTCTGCCAAATAGTCTGGCCAGCTGATGTCCAAGACCTACTGAAGTCCCGATTTTTCTGGTACCCACAGCTGACCTACCAGTCCTGGCACCCCCACTAGCCTCCCCTGTCCCTGCCTTCAGTAACCCACCCCAGGATCATACAAAACACCAATGCTTTTGAAAATAAAAACTGGCAGCTCAATGATCCCATAAAAAAGTGATCATGAGAAGAAAATAGGGTCTTCCCACAAATGTCCTTACTTCTAAAAAGAACCTGCCAGTAGCTCATGGATCCAAAACACCAATTATGATATGATTTGGCAGAAGAGGGCAGAGGAAGGCTGATGTTCAGGGAAAAAAGTCCCATTTTATACATAGATTTCAATCCACTCTTATGGATCATGACATGTTCCCAAAGAGCATCCAATAGGAAAAATATATCATATGGAAACAAAAATAATATACCACAGCAAAGATGTTTAATCCATTCCAGATGCAACTCATTCCTAAATACTGTTAACTTATTAACACTATACACACACACGTACACTCACACATATATATAGCCTGTGTAATGCTCAATTTGATGTTTCTATAAAAATATTCTTCGTGTGTGATAATGCATAACATGTTTTCACCATATGGAACTCTAAATAGGAACTGAGCAATCCAACAGAGTACAGTGGGGAAATTAGTCACTGTGAGAACTGAAATGGAATCTTGGCTTTGAATTTATTAAAGACTTCTCAATTCTAAGCACGAAAAGCCAAGTATATACTTTCATGCAGTCTGAACTCATCAGGTTTAAACAAAGTCTGCCAATTTACATTGAGGAAAAAAGAAATAATACAGTCCTTAATCCCATATGAGCTTGAAATAAAATGTAAGATCCAAATCCAAATTCCTGAATGAGGTGATGTTCATGACCAAATGTTTCATTTCATATATAACTGCCAGATACAAAGCTTGAACCCAAACCTCAACCCATCTTTTTATTACAATCTCATACTTCAAATTAAATATTGTTTATTAAACACTAATGATTTAATTTAAAATCCTCCCTCATTTTAAAGTAAATCAAGATGGCAAACAACAACAACAATCCCACAATCTGTAATAAAGGCATCAATTTTATTTACAGCTAAGTCAGTCATGACTAAAACCCTTTGAAAGTAACAGCATAAAATTAGTTGCAACTAAAGTCAGGGTTTTCTTTGTTTACACAGTTCACACACACTGGAAAGTCATGGCTTCTTGCTGAAAAGTGAACAAGCTCAAATTCATGTACCCCTTTTCCCTTCTCTCCCTCCACATGCCAGAGAAAGAAACCATAAGCATCTATTTCTAGTTTTAAGCTAACCACAGTTCATCATGATGTCCCAATTCTGGAAACTGTGGTTTATTCTAAAACCACATTTTGAGCCTGGCTTGTTCTCAAAGTTTAAACAAACCACAGTTCCTCAAACCATTTTAAAACTGGAAGCAGATGCATCCAATCTCAGTTCATATAATCTATACCCCACCATCATGATCAACGCTGGAAGCAGACAGGGCCACCAATGACCTCATTGCCTGATCAGAACAACATGCGACTTCCTTTAAAAGCCACATTGCATTTGTGACAACAAGGCTTATTGCTCTGTATTATCAATGGCCACCTGATGTGCCTGGGGCCTTATATAACTCCACCTTGCATTTTGCACTACACCAGAGTTAACCAGATGGGAAAAAGCCTGAGTACAGAACTCAGCATTATGTGTAACTAGCAGCATTCACCCAGTGTAATGCTGCTCAATTATGATTCTTCTTATTTACTCAATTTATGTGTGGTTTCCCATCATAAAAAGCAAATTCAGCATGATTTATACACACCCTACAGCAGGGGTCTCAAACTCGCGGCCCGTGGGCCAATTGCCGGGATGGGCGGGGCCCGGGGCAGGGGCCCTGCGGCCTTCAAAGCGCCGGCCGCGGGATGAGCGGCCCACCACCACCACAGGGGTGGAATACTTGATGCAGCCCAGCCTCACCCAGACTCTACTTCCAGCGGCCCCCAGGTAAGTTGAGTTTGAGACCCCTGCCCTACAGAAATTCATGATGAATACAGCATGAAAACAACACCCTCAAAATCAATAGAAACCAGAGTCAGCACAATAACACAAACAAAAATACCATGAATATATGATCTAAAAACAATGTAATTTATAAAGTGTTCATCTACAATAGGTCTCAACTCCTGGAGTGATTTTGTGCAGCTTCAGCTGTTATGTCAACTGTGGCAGTTGTGTCTGTGAAAATCTTTTGTTTGTGCTACTACCTTCAGAGCAGAGATCCACACTCCTGTTCCATCAAAGGTAAGAGTTTGGTTCAATTTACTTTAAATTATCTTCTTAAATTCTATTTTAGCTCACCCAAATCCTTTAAAATGACTTTTTTAGGCTGCAGTGCCCCCTGGAGTCTTTAAATATTTCTCACAGCTTTCTGATTGTTCTTTCCCTTCACCGGATCCTTCTTGGTTCCGAGAAAGCATCTTTCCGGAAGCAAGAATGCACTACAACCTGGTTCTCCCCTGGGCTCCCTCTACCAGGAAAAAGAAAGCTCTTCTGTGCAGCCCATCCTTCCTGAATCCCTAGAAGGCATCTTCTCCTCAGGAAAACAAGCTTTTCGAGGCAGAGATTTAAATACTAGGTAGAAGGGTACTCAGCTCATTTCCACTCAGAGTCACTGGAAGAAGCCCCAAAGAAGGCACCAAATTAAAAAGAACTCACCTGAATTCATAACTCTGTCTAAAGCCTTGTGGACGGGGTGGTCTAGATAATCCTATAGCCTCTGGGACATTGTTGAAGAACCACAGGATTGTTCTCTACCATAACTAGAAATTATTCTCTATGAATGAATGCTTGTTCTATTTCACATGTTGATTTTTGTTTTAACATTGTTGCAATTTGCCCCAGAATTAAAGTCTAATGCCAGGCATACAAAGTAATTTAAACTAATAAAGAACTGCAATACTAAGAGTTATACAAATGTTACAGTCTTGCAAATGACTTTCACTTCAACTACTGTATATTTGAACTCCCAAACAATTTAGACTGCAGGGTTTTGTTACCTCAAGAGGCACTTCCATTACACCTAGTCCAAGGTTTTCAGATATTATAAATGCACTGGCTACCCAGGAAGTAATAGTATCAGGAACAGTAACATTCACTGTTGCTTGAGTGGCTCTAAAGGTAGAATAAAGACAGAAAATACATTTTTAAAAAATACACACTGATAATGGTCAGTAGAGCACAATTTTCCTTGTGGAGTAGTGGATGTAGTTTGATTTAATAAAATTAGTTGCCTGCAGGAGGATCTGCAAATGAGGGCTGAATACTCAAATTTCCACACAGCTGCCATATTTTAGCATAGATCCATTGTTTGGCTATGGAAAACATTATGAAGTATGAAGCAAAAGCAGATGTTTGTAAACATGCAATGGATACATGCTAAGGATTTCTGAATGGATGTAGATCCCATACACACATCAACTGCATGTTTACAGACATGCATTTCTACTTTGCATTTTTTTAGGGGCAAGTGTAGGGGGAGAGGATTGTAAAGGTCCATTGTGCAAGCAGAAGTTTGTTCCTGTGATGTTGCATATAGCCCATAGTTTTGAATGAATAATCTTGGGCTTATTTAGACTGATTCTGGTTCTGCCAAGGAACACTGCACATTGAAGGAAAGGAAATAAAAGTTTCATGTATTTCCAGTGTAATACAACCTGAAATGACAGCAAAGTTCACTTAAAATAATCTTAACTGATCAGTGTTTAAACATTAAAAATACAAAATTAGAAAGTTGCACCAAGACATATTAGTGATTCTCTTGCAAGAAAGCAAAAAAGAAAAATGTTAATTTTTACCCGATCGTGATTTCACGCCAAATCCATGTCTCTGGAAAATTTGTCCTTACATGGGGGCTACTCAAAACCTCTTTCATTGCTGTGTTCATCAATGGGTGCGAAGTATCATACGCCTGCCCTGAAAAAGCAGTAATGCCAGGGTCTGCTTGAAGCAAAAGAACATTGTAAGTGTTGTCTTTTATAACCAAGCAAAATAATTTGGGTTGGATCCAAACTTGTCTTTGATCCAGAACAAGCTTTTGATTTAATGGAGGTATCTCACTGGCAGCACCTAGCACTTTGTCCTACACTGTTCCAGAAGGTTCACCCAACCCTCTGGAGCAGCTTTTCAGAGGGTGCAAGGAGCTGTAAGAGAGGAGGGATATCAGCAAGTCATCTCCTCCTACCTACATGCACACACAAACACACGTGCATACACATTTGCTGGATCCAAGCCATTGCATTTAGGGTCTACACAGTACATTCAATGATGTTGAGACACTGCTTGATAGATTGTGTCGCTGCCTAGTTATTCACATATCATGAGCTGTAAGACAAGCCATAAGTTACTTGCTCCTTTTTTACTTACACGGATCGTCATATTCTTCAATTTCTGGAAAACTGGCATCAGTTGATACCCAGAGATTGCATTTCTGAATATAACACAGAATCGATATTTTAGTTTAAAAATGGGCAACATATGAATATAGTTACCTAATCTATGTTTATTACTTTTCTTTATATATTTTATTGAATGCATACATAAACAAAAAGGGTTGTGCTCAGAAGAATCCCACCCTCTGCAAAAGTCTAGTGTTGGGAAAGAGAAAGCCTTCAAAAGAATTGAGCTTCCCTCTGTCACCTCTCATCTGAATATGTCTATGCACTAATGTATCTGAGCACAAATGTACTATTTTAAACTTTGTGTATGCTACTAAACCCTTACTTTCCTACATACACCAAAACAATTGAGGATGAGGAAATTAAGGTATACGTTTTAGAACTGTACCTGAAAGACACTGTGGGAATTTAAAGGTTCACCGTAAAAGATCTCTTTATTATATAAACTTAGCTCATGCAGTACCTGAAACAAAAAAAGTGTTTTGAAATGAGAGAACTTCAAGAATCTAATTACCCAGGCTCACATGGAACTCACTGAACAAAGTATATGGCATTTAAAAACTGCTTTATGAACAACAAAGAGTAAACTGAAGATGTGACAATCATGAACAACCATAATGGGACATCTGTCATATTTAGGTCTAAATATGAAGTATACAAATAGAGAGTAACTGAGTATGTAAAGGATTGTTAACAAATTGATTGAGGAAATCAGGCTACAGCAGAGGAAGAGAAGCAAAATGAAGCCCATCATCGGTTCTGCTGAAAAGATACCTCCAAGAGGCTTGCTACTCCATTGGCTGCCACCTGGCAGCAAAGCATTGCATCAGGATAGCACAGAGGGAGAGAAGGAAGGAAAGCAACTTCACTGACAGAATGAACAATTTCAGCTTCACCTCTAGTTGACACTCCAGCCAGTCATTACACTTTATAAGCAAGACTGAGTGCCTGAGTTTGCTTTTTCCTCCTCCCACCCCACCCCACCCCCCTTTTCCTTTTTCTTTGGTACCATGTCTTTTAAATTATAAGCCTGAAGGCAGGTACTGGGAATTGCAGTCTATTATGCCTCTCTGCAAGCCATTCAGGGACTCTTTTCTGGATTTTTTTCTTTAAATTCTTTTAGTTCAATTCATATACACATAGGGAATACATTCATACATTTCCTTTCTCCCCTTCTCTTCTGCCACTAGTTCAATATTCTGGATCATATGGGGCAGGCAAAGGCACAAACTATGCATTACCTTAAAAGGGTCCTCATCGCCCTCCAGATGTTTTAGCTTACAATTCCCATTAATCCTAGCCAATGTAGCCAATAGTTCTATCAGATGTAGGCCAGAACATCTAGAGAGCCACAAGTTGCCCATCCCTGCCTTAAACAAATGAACACTGACCCACTCTACCTCACCCCGTAATGTTTAGTTACAGTGAAAGCATGATGTGGCATTATCAATTTCAGAATTTTATCATCCCCAGACGTGAATGCCCCTGTCATGACTTCCTGGTCAGTGGGAAAAGTCACACAAAATATCATATGCAATCAATGGGAGGGTTTCTTATGAAGGAAGATTGGCTGTCATCAACCCCAGGAATTAATGAACCAGCTTTGCCAGAGGCACCCATCACCTGTTGTATCCCCCACTGAGGGGCTTTTTTTCCTTGGGGAAGTGAGAGGGGTAGCCCTAAAAAGGACGATTATCAATCAGAACTTCCAAGCTATTTTGTTATCGCTGTGGCGCTTCTCAGGTTTTTTCAAGATGTAAAAGAAATATTTGAGAGTTCTGAATGAGCTCAGGGCAAGTATCAAATTGCTCTCACTTCCCTAGTGGAGATGCAGGTGAGCAGCAGTTAAGTATTTAAGGTGCTATGTGCGCTTACCAAAGTGGATTCATGCTGTTGCCTTTGGGAACCTGAGACAGGATTACTGGCTTGTGTTAGAGGCCTACTAGCTTCCAACATACTCCACCTGCACATTTATAGACATAGGCACCTTACCTTTGTCAACATAAGGAAACAGAGTGTATTGAACAAAATCTCCCTGGAACTGAGAAGGCTAAGGGGACTCCTTTTGGTAATTAGATGCTATGGTATCTTCAACTCATATTCCAAGCTATGCTAACAAGCACAGTGATACCGTCTTTTAACAAAGTTCTTGAATATATTGGCTTTATGTCAGCATTTTGTGCACCAAGTTATGAAGTAACAGTCTAAGTGTGACTCACAAGCTACAAAGTATATTTCCCCATGCTAGGCAAGGGTGTAGGAAACTTTACCAATGGGGGCAAAGTTAGTCAAGTTTTTAACAGTCCAAATAGAGTTTGGGTGAAATTATTTTTTTCCATTTGCTAAAGGGAGACATTCACCATGTCAGAAGACTAAACTATTCACATATAGACACAAATACAAAACTGAATCGCTCACTGATTAAACTAAACTGGCTTTGAGCATGTGGAAAGCGCTGCATATATTTCAGCTGCTTCACTTGTGGGATGATGTTTGCCTTCTGATGAGCAGCTGTACACTGACGCAGCATGAGCGAAAGGTAAAAAGAAAATGATTGCAGAAATGGATGCACTCCCCCCATCCCGCTAAGTAGATTTGGAAATGTTGGTGGAAAACATTGTAGTGAGAGTTACTTGCTTGTCAGCAGAATGAAGCAACCTGTAGCACTAAGGCCTCAAGAGCTTCATATATATGAATGACATACCTCACAGCCAAGTCTAGCACCTGCATAGCTCTGAAAAGCAATTCCCTATGAAAAACTTACTGTATCCTCTGTGATATCACTTCTTTTTCCCAGAATGTTCGTGCTTTTGTCAACAACCAGAAGTGCAATTGTTGTATTGGGTTCTGTCACATTGATTTTGAGGGTGACCTCCTCAGAAGGCCCAGCCTTGTTTTTATTCCAATACATGTTAACCTAAAGGGAGAAATTATAGGGGTATATAATATTTATTTACTATATTTATGCCCTGCCCTTTTCTTACATCAAACTCAATGCAGTGTAGGCAATCTGGAATAAGTAATGAGATTCATTCAGGTGCTTATCTTGCATTTAGTCTGAAACAACTGAAGATGTGGATTAATTTTGAGAGCGTGGAAAAGCCAAATCAGATGCCTCACTGGGAGACCCATGTTAAAATATATTCTTTGTCAGCATCTCCTCTCCAGTACTGTGGCTACAACCTGAATTACCTACAGGAGAGCGCGACTCAGGTTGTGGTCATGACACTGGAGGGGAAGTAGTGATCATTTCCCAGGGTGCCACTTACCCAGTTTAAATCACCCTCCTTCCAAAGTTGCTGTTTGCCTTGTAAGGACTCAAGGCAGGGTGGAGGGGGTGTCAGACAACACAAGCCAACCAGTGTGACTGAATCATCTCGAACTCCATAATGTGCCCAGGAGATGACTGGGCATATCATGGGTTACTACTCTCCCACTTGGCTCTTCTGAAAAGGGTTTTCACCATGTCTACAGCATGATGCATAGTTCCTATTCCTTCAGACAGAAATAAAGGTATCTGCTAAAGTTCTCCCTGAGATACCAAAGGCCTAACTCCTGCAGCAATGCTATGGTCTGTAAAGCTGTAGGAATAAGCAGCCCAGCCAGTACAGCTGCTGCATCACCACCCTTTGCCTGCAGGTACACAGAAAGGTCTCAGAACATAGTACAGGAAGCCCATTCTGGAACCTCAAAGTTATCAGCTGGCAATGAGTGGAATTTCAGCCTGGCAAATAGTTTGCAAAATTCCACCTTGTGACCTAATGGAAAGGAAGCTCTGGACACTTACCTGGTTTTTAAAGACTGGCTGCACAGGAACACTTAGAGCATCGCTTATTACTTCTCCATTATCACTCACATAGAAGGCGATTATGCTGGCTGTAGGAACCCAAGAATGTTCTGGTGTTAAAGTGAAGGTTGTGGACTTCTTTTTACCAACAGCCACAATTTGTTCTTTAGACATAACCTAGGGGGGGGGGGAGAGTTAATTTATCTACTGTTTGTCAAAAAAAGGCTGACATAGGTTGAATCTTGGTAAAATAAATTTTAAATAATTGAACAATACCATATAGCTGATTTCTTTCACAGGTCTATTGCTTTGAACATTCAGCTCCAAAGGTGTCCCAACCTAAGAAACATACCATGATTTGAATGAACATGCCTATCACAGGTGAATTTAGAAATCAATGACATACTGAAAGGATTAGGTACCTTTAAATTTTGAGGTGTTTTTTTAATCAAGACGTAAGTCATGCTGGCAGAGTAGGATATTTCATATACAGTTACAGAAGTTTCAATTTCCATATATTCAGCCTGGAAAAGCAATAGTTTATAAAATGAGGAAATTTCAGGGACCTTTATACTTCCATACTGCTTAACAGAATCAAATCTGTAAAGTTTACAAGTAAAAATCACGATTAAACTGCATATATAATACAATATAACACCAACTTTTTAAACTTACAGCAACTAGTAAGATGAAAAGAAACCAAGAGAGACAGTGAAATGGAACAGCAGTACCACAGTAATAACTTATATGTCTGTGAAATCTTGTGTGAGCAAGTACATTTTCAGTAGGCATTTAAAACACTCCATGGGGAAAGGTGCTCCAGAAGTGGTTACCAACAGTCAGAAGACCTGCTTTTGAGATGTTATATAGCAATTTGTTAAGTTTCAGAACACCCAGCAAGGCCTCCCCTGAAAATCCTACAAGTACAGAGGAGGCAGGTCCACCAGGTATCCTGGTCTCAAACTATTTAGGACTTTGTAAGACAACAACAAACCTTCAAACATGGCTAAGTAGCTAACAGACAGCAAATGCAGTTCTTTTACCTGAACTGTAATGTATACGTAGATGTGTGCCCCAAGGAGCACCCCAGTTGCTCTAGCTTGTAACTAGTTGCCACCTTTGACCATGGAGCAAGGACAGCCCCACTTACAGTCCTTTACAGTACTCAAATTCTGACATTACCCACATGCAGAGCACAGTGGTTGGGCTATCCCTAACTAGGAACAGGCAGCTATCACACCAACCACAGCTGGTCATGAGCACCCTGAGCGACTGGTCTCCTGGGCTTCCAGTGACAAGGATGGATCAATAAGCTTCCCTGAAACTATGACATCTTCCTTCAGATCTGCAAAGCCATTCAAAAAAGGTGACTAACCTAATTCCTGAATTTGGGAACTGCCACCCATAGGGTCTCTGTCTTATCAAGATTCAGGTTATTGGCCTTCTCACAGGAAAGGCATGACCTCTTCCAACTCAAAAGTTACAGAGAAAATACGGATACCTTGCTCCAAATCTTCTAATGTAATGACTTTAAAAAGATGTTAAACAACAATGAAGACAAAATAGTGACATATGATACCCCACAGATAACTGCCAGGGGGCCAAGGCAAAGTCACCCAATGTTTCTTTGGGATTATCCACATAAGCAACAACAGAAATGCCATAAAATTGTGCTCTTAATTCATGGAGACAGTCCAGGAGGATGCTGTGGTCAATAGTATTGAAGCCTACTGAGTGATCAAGAAGTCCCAGGATAACAATCTCTTGTCCTCCTGAAGAACTGAATCTATCAGGGCAACCAATTCCAATTCCATCCCAAAACCAGACAGGAATCCAGAAAGGAATGAGTAAACAATGTCATCAAAGGGCACCTGCAACTGAATGTCTATTACTGTTCAAAGCACCCTGCCTAAAAATGAGGTATTTTTGACTGGGTAACAGATAGTATAAATCTCTGGAGCCAGAGAGGTCTTTTTTAGGAGTGGCTGAACCACCAGCTCCTCCAAGACTGCAGAGACTGCTCCACTGCGTAATGATGCAGTCAACAAGACGCTAATTACTCTTTTTAATCCCTTGCAACTAGTTCAAAGATTTGTCATGTGCAGGCTTGAAAAATTAAACTGATCCCACAAAATTGAACAAGACAACAGACACTGTACTAATAGTGATCCTCAAGTCAGCATGAAGGTGAAATGGAATAATTATCACCTCTTCTAAACCAAGATATGAAGCTGCCTTACGCTGTCAGAATTTAAAAAATAAGACCGCAGTTCACCAGAGCACCAACATGGAGAGGTGTGGGGAGAACAAATCAAGAGTTCCTGAAATAATTTCTTCTGAACTATAAGATGAGTCAGTGCTTTTTCTCCTTTTTCCTTTCAGTTAGTAGATGAATTAAAGACAAGTCATTGTTGATTCTACTTAAATGATTGCTAGAGGTACAAGTAGCTTACACAATTATTTAAACCATGGTTTAGATAACTGTAAGCAAGTCATGGTGAACCTTGTGTTCAACCCCCTTCCCTTCTCCACCTGCTCCTCTGAAAACAAGAGGAGAGCAAAAACTTCTGCTTTCCTTTTCATTAATCCACAGGTTCTTGTCACATTTGAATTTGGGGGATTGTAGCTTATTCTAACTCTAGCTAGTTAAAAAGCTAGGATGCAAATCTATTTTCACTCAGGTAGGTAACTTTAACTAACGAGGACTAGAATAAACCATAGTTCCTTGACTGTTTATGTAAGAGGAAACTGTAGTTAGTAAATAAGTGAAAAGGTAAAAGCAGAGACTTTCATTCCCTTTCTTTTCAACTCTAATAATAACAATAATTGTGATGATGATGATGATGATGATACAGGCTGGCTGCCTAGGGCTGTTAAAAGGATTCCTGAGCTGTCTAATGAAGTACAACATAGATTAAGGTAGGCATTAAGGTAAGTTTCCACCCTACAATTCAACTACTGATTAAAGTCGAATCCAGGTAGTAGGATGGGACAGTGGAAGTCATGGTCCAACACATCTGGAAAGCACCAGGTTGGAGAAAGTGGGGGTAGTATGACTTTGTATGAAATAAAATCACAGGAATATTATACCTCAATATACAATGTTGTTGTATTCTCCAGAACTGGAAATTCAATCTGAACCAACCCATTTGCTGGTACAGGGTAGCTTCGTTGCTGAATTGATGCATTCCTCTGAAATTCATTTCCATAACGCTTGCTGTAAGAACCTCTCCCTGAGGCTTTGACAGTGATCATGACTTCATTCCTTCGTTCATCAGAAGTCAGGGGCCTGTTGTCATGTCTTGTTACCTTCAGCTGAAAACAATAAAAGGCATGTCCATAAATCAACCCAAAGCTTTCAAAACAGTGATTAACTTTATTTTTAGGCCAATACAAATATTTATGCTCAGCCCCTGGGTTTGACATGCCAGTATAATGTTTGATATTTACAGCTTGCAACTGTCAGCAACCAAAACCACTAGTGACACAAATACAATAGCTTCAAGCAATTTGCAAAACATAACTCTGTCTTCAGGATGCATCCTTTGCTGACCCTGTATTTTAGAATGACATTGACATAGCAAAAATTAACAGAATGACTCACTGTAGCGAAGAAATCCAGGGAAGGTTTCAAAACTCTTGAATACTCGGAAAATTCTAGTAAGTAGTCATGAAGTTTTGGAAATACAGTAGTACTTGAATTCTGGGAGATTCCTGTTAAGGGGTTTTTTAAAAGAGGGACGTGTTTAATCATTTGTTCCTAAATGCATCTGAAGAGATCATATTTCTTTTAATTCCAGCTGTCAACAGTCTATACTGCTGTTGGCAACATAGGCACTGTTCACTGGAAGCATACCAGGGCTTGGGTCCTGCAACTTTTCGAGCTATGTCCCAGATCTTTAGAGCTTCCTCAATTGCCATCATCTGCCTCAATACAAGCCTGCTTCTTTCCTCTGAAGTTTGTGACTTTGCAGTGGCTCCTTTAGCAGACTAACAGGAAGCAGAGCACTAGCCTTTTAAACTTGCGTGAAGTTTATCACTTTCTTTTCACCATCTGCTCATTATTTTCATTCAGTCCAGAGTCCAAAATTGCCGGACAGCACCATGGTCACTGGCCTTTCTCACACTATTCCAGGATCTTCAGAGGTCTGCCCTGCCCATTGCTACTGGGTAGTTACCACCACCACCCCATGCCCTGGACTATCTTGGGCAGTGCAGCCCTGATGGGTGAAAGAAAGAGCAGGTTCATTGGCTGCTCACAAACTTACTTACATATATTTATAGGTCACCTATAATTGCCAAGGCCTTCCTAGGCGGCTTACGTATCAAGTGGAGTGCCAAAGGCTTCCCTCATCTGTTGCTTTGTCCAAGCTGGCCCAAGCCCCGTAGCTTGGGGTGAAACAAAATTGAGTTGGTACACAAAAACAAGTTGCATGAATAGTAATGCCTGAATGTGCGGCAAGGTAACGCATGAGTGAGTGTACAGCTTGCCCAAGAATGTTGTGGGCTGAGGTTCCTCCTTTGAGCATTCAAAAGCCACAGACCATTTTTTATTAACCCAAAAGCACAAAATATCTGGAACAAATCTCTGAGTAGGCAGAGTGGTTTGTTGAAACCAATCTAGTATTCAGCTCCAGGAACTCTCCTTATGAGCATGCCTGGGCCCCATCCTTTCAGGAGGGGCTTTCTGAAAGCAAGCACACCTCTTCTCCATGCACCAGTCATCTAGCTGGGCCGCCTGTCTCTGCTGACACCTCATCTATAAAGGCTCAGTTTCAGAGTCCCCTCCCACCAGCTGCATACTTGGTTATTCCTAGGAACTGCCTGCGCCCCTGAGGAGTCTTGAGATAGGCATATCTCAGTGTCTCAGCACAGCCAATCCTCCCCAACTCCCCTTGGACCTGCTTCACAGCATTATTCTGATTCTTCTGAAAGCCAGCCAGCAGTCCTGGAGAACAAGCATCCGAAGAGGCAATCCTTCCAACAGGGAGTGTCTGAAGCTCCCTGGTCCACAGTAACCTTTCTCTCAAGCACAGACCTACTTCTTGCATGACCTACGTGGCCGGATTCTGGCAGATACATGGTCCTCCTTGGCACCCGTCCTTTGCATCCAGGCAAACCAAAGTGGGAGGAGGATAGGAGCTTCTTTCTCTTTTGTATGCCCTCAGAAAAGAGGGTAGTACAATTTACATCCCGCTTGCAGTGAGCTTCTAATGTCATGTTCATTTTCCACTTCTTCCCTAAGTAGCTGATCAGGAAAGTGCAAAACTGAGTCCCACCCACTCTTCTGGGTTCCCTTTTAAATGGGGTTGGAAGTGGGGAGGGGTGGGATTAACAGGGCAATGGGTCGTTTCTGATTCGGACAGATAGCTGTATGTGACAGTCATCCTGAGAACTGTCAGGACAAAAAGAAAAAAAGCTGAGGATCTAAAAATGAAAGGGGTGCATATTAAATAACTCCCTTTTCATGCGTTTTGATTACTTGTGTCTTGGCTTTCCCTTGATAGGCTGCCTTTTGACAGCTGTCAAGAAAAAGCAAAGTGAAGAAAAAACCCACTTGGAGCTTCTCTAGCACTCTGATAACAGGTCCTCACACCTAACATTGCCCGACTGAAGTGTCTGATTTCCACACTCACAAAACTGTGCTCCTGCATAGTTGCACAAGAATGGTTAAATTTAAAAAAAGAAAATATTTGCATACTCTGAACATGCAAAGGAAAAAAAATTGCCAACCAGTGACCATCCCTCCAATATGTCACTTGGGTCTGTCAGTATCTGTCAAAACTGAGATCGTGAAAGCCAGCTCTCAAGCTAGACTTTGAAATCTCTGGAAAAATGGGTTAAATGGGAGAAATGCTACAGTAAGCAAAACTCTATGCAGAATCACAGAGGGGCATCTCCAGTCTGCTTGCCAATTCCCTCTACCCACAATGGGGACACTCACCCATGTCTGAATCGCACACCACCTATTGTGGGTGAAGCGCCCCATACAACACACTTTGGGTTGTCAGGGTGGCTGGTTGCCCTCAAGCAAACCACAGTGTAGAAAATGGCTTAGGGTTGCAGGAAAAAACTACTAATTGTGGGCAACAGTAACTGTCAAAAAATAGGATAAAGAAGCAGTAAATAAAGAAACCACCTCAGTAGTTCCAGTGTTGTTGACTTTCCTTCCATTAAGAAACGGACTAATGGATATGAATAAGGTTACCTGTAAGTGATTCTGTAACCACAGCTGTAATTTCTACAGGCATATACTCTTCCCAATCTATGTAAGTTATGTTCTTCATCTCTAGACTATCAAGTGCAAAGTTCACAGATCCATTAATCTGCAATAAAGAAAAAGTCAACTGATTGGATTTTTTTCTTCTGAAAATAACAATCAAAAAGAATTTTCACATAGATTGTATATGTTGTCACTGCATTTCACTCAGCAGTCAGGTGGTAGTGGTAGAGCACACTGTTAAAACCTGCACCAGACTCCTGCCTTAGCAGCATCAGATGGTAGGCTGAGGGGTGCTTCTGCACCTCTCATCTGCTCTGGCCACAGAAGGGAACTGAGGGAGACTGACTACATCAGCCTTGTAAACATGAAAAGGCCAGACCAGGCTTGTATCCTAAACTGGGCAACCAAGAGATCTGTTCTTGGCTTTAGATCACCTTCTCACTCCTGCCTTCACTTCACACCATCTAACAGCTTCACCAGACCTATATCTGGCTTGTGACTATGCTACAAATTTAAACTAGTTTAACAGGCATTCTGTCTCCTCAGAGCCTGTGGCAAATACAGCTGTGTGGAGAGAAGGCAGGGTAGAGATCACTATCAGAGATTCTTTAAGAGAGGTATAAAATGGTAGAAAACTGATACTACAACAGATAAAGTAGTAGAAAACTGAAAAACATTATGGAGTTTGGCTAGTGCGTTGAATCCAGTGGTGATTCTGTCCTCACAAAAAGCAGTTTTGCATGTGTCACTTAAGGCACTATCACCTTAATGCTGCCCCGAGCACCATACCCCATTCTTTTCCAGAATGTATCCCAACACTTCAGTGCAGTTTTTCAGGGGTCTTTACTGGGAAGAAAGGGAGAAAAAAGGTGATAGTCAGGCCTCAAACTTACACAAGCAAAGGAACTTTCTGTTAAAGGAAAGACAGTGGCTCAATGGAGTATGGATGTAGCTGAAGAAGAATCTAAAAATTTGAACACTGAGATTAGGGACACAATCTATGATAGTGACAGTGTTTCCACCTGATTATAGTTAAGCATACTTATACCGTATGGTTTTCAGTGAGAATTAGAAAAACTTGATTTTCTCTCAATTGCACCCTATGTCTGCATTTTGGTGGAGACTACATAATATCTACCACTCTGTTCTCCAACCCATCAATAGTGCTAAAATCCTCTTGATGCTTGCTACAGTGATAACTTGGGCAGGCTAGGCTAGGGGAGGGGAGTTTATTGGGGAGTAACCCAAGCTACAAGACTGCAATTTACAAGTATATTTGACAGGAAAATAGATTTCAAAAGGCAATTAAATGTGGAAGGAAATAAATACTTCTAAAACATCAAAATGTTTCTAAAATTTTTGCAAAGTTTTTCCAAGAAATACAGTTCTGTATTGCCTGATTTAAAAAAATGAAATACCATATAGGGACCCCAAACTTGCATACTGCTTCCAAAGATCTTTTGCTTTTGTGTAATGTCAACAGGTTTCAAGATGGGGGGAGGTCATATGAGGCTGCTTGCCATTCCTCTAGGCCAGGGGTCGGCAACCTTTAACATTCAAAGAGCCATTCGGACCCATTTCCTACACAAAAGAAAACACCGAGAGCTGCAAAACCCTTTTGACATCTAAAATGAAGATAACACAGCATATATCATTTTTTACCTTAATGCTATGTATATCTTCAGTATGATTTAGCTGCAGCTCTTCAGTCACTAAAAACTGTTATTTTTAATCTTACATTATAAACTAGTAGGATTCCTTTCATATATTTTGAATAGGAGAACAGCTTCCTGAAGAGTCAAAGTCAGTGCTAAAGGGCTGCATGCATTAAACAGCAAACCCCATAAGTTCGTCAGCATTAAAAGCAAATGAATCTACCCACATATCATTAAACATTTGGTTTTCTTCAGAAACTTTTCTTTTCTTCAATTTATCCATGGTTGGCCTACCAGGGGAAGTGGCAGATATAGGTGTGTTTAGTGACTGATTAGCAGATAAACAGTCAAGTGCTGTGAATTCTGACAGGTCCCAAGCGCAGCTTTTATCATTCAGAGGAAGGAGATTACATTTAGACAGAGAGAATCTTTTCAGCAAAGTTTCTTGTAATGAGAGCCTACAGGAAGCTTGTTCCACTCTTTCCCTGAAATGTCACAATTTACTTGACCTCCTAGCACAGCGTTCCTGAAAAGATGCCTCATCATCACCTATTGGTATTTTGTAGCCACAGAGGGATTCAAGAGCCACGTGTGGCTCCGGAGCCACGGGTTGCCGACCCCTGCTCTAGGCACAGATTAGTATTCAGACACAGAAGTATGATGCACAAAGGAGTAGTTTTCTTTTTAATTAAGTCCCAAAGGAGAAGAAATAAATGGCAAACAGACAAACAGAGGGTGGACAGACAGAAGGAAAGGCAGACAGGTAGACAAAGATTGATTCTTGGTTGACTAAAGAAATCCTCAGGATAGATGAAGTACATTTTTTCCTGACATATACATACACTGTCAGCATTGTACACGGCTCACCTCCAATGTTTTAGTGATAGTTCTCTTCTTTCCATAGTATAATGGAAAGAAAGCAAGAGTTACTTTCCCTTTCACTGGCTTTCCATATGTGTACCTGAAATAGTCATTTGGAAACTTTCAGTTTCTGAAGAATGGTTGAAGTACTGCAAGAAGCCAACACATCTATTTGCATTTGAACACAGTGACTGTACATTTTAGCTTTGGAAAATAAAACAAAGATCATTCCTGCAAATTATGTTGAATCAGTGAAATATGCATTCATGAAATATTTCACAATACAGGTAACAGTAACCAGTGGAGGCAGTCATCTTTTTTCACCAAGAGTACCCTGGGAAAGGTATGAGTGTGACTTAAAAGTTATTTTGAATAAAAATGTTAATAGAATCTCCTGCTGCCTTTTCTCGAAATGGTAGGTTCTCACCCCTCACAAATATTTTTCCCCAAGCCCCACCTGACCCAACAGATCTGCTCAGCCCACCAACCCCCAAAACTGGAGAGAAAATATGGAACTTAGACTTTGGCCCAGTGCCGCACAGCTTTGATACACAATGCTTATACGAATGTACAGAGGTCTTAAATGCTGTAACGTATATTTTTTCACCTACTTTGCTGTGACAGTCCCATTGAAACTCGTATCTTTTGGGGAATAATGCAGAGGTGTTGTCAGAAAGACTTCAAACTTTGACAACACTGAAAAAAATCAACAGTTATAATTAAAATTGCACAATAATGGTAATAGACACAGTTTCAGTCATGTGAGCTTTTCAGTACAACATACCTAGAAATCTCTGGTGCTAGAATCAGACAGATAGATAGACAGGCATTCTGTTTGTTACTACTTTGACTAGGAATAGGCAGAATGATGCCCACTTGGTGCCCACTGAGACACCCTGCAGCTCCTAATTTTTATGTTAAAATGTGTGTATATTTTCTTATTTGCAGCTGGGATTACTTCAGAGCAAAATGAGAGCCTCTAGCTGTTGACACTTTAATTTCCCATAAATGCATCTGGGCCTTTGGAAGTAGTAATGCACATCCATGCCAGCCATTTAATGGTTGTACCTGGGACAGTTTCACAAATTTCCAAATATGGCCCCAGACACAAACAGTTACCTACCCATTACACTGTGTATTCACAGGAAGTGTATTCAGTGAAGGTGCTGAAAAATTCCCTTACCATCTTAAGAGACTAAACAGAAAACTGAGGTGACACCAGATCCTGAGGAATAATCAACCACAAAATATACAACATACATGCATAAATGCTTTTCTTTCTAATTATGTGAAATTACCAGTTTACAGGTGAGTTATCAGATTGGTGGGTGTGGCCTTACTTTAATAGTAAAACATGTACACTGGATAGGGGCACTAAACACTTCCTGATCCTGCACCCCTACTGAGCCTTTTCTTTGTTCCCAGATCACTTCCAGCAACAGAGCCAAGAATGGAGAAACTGATTGGATCAAAAACTCCAAGATAAGGGAGGTAAGGCAAGGGACAGAACAGTTTAGCACTCCTTTCCCACACAGTTTGTTTACTGTTAAAGTTACAGACACATGTATAGGTTAAAGGGGCAGACAAAGGAATAACTACTTCTACAAACTATAAAAAGCATTCGGAATATCAAATATTGTTTGGATAACTGCAAAAAGATAAGTGGCTCTCATACACTTACGATCTTCCATGATTTAAAGACATTTAATTATTAGGAATAATTACTGAAAATAATATTTCTTATCATATAACTACAGGAGGAAAACTGCCGTCTTGAACCTTAAAATGACTTCTATCTTCCAAAAATAAATTGGCTCCTACTTTTTAAGTGCAGGCACTTACCATACTCCATGACAGTAAACGTTTGATAGTGGGTTTGATCCTATGGAAATGCAAACAAAAAATTATGAAATGGATGTTGACATTCAACATCAAGCTAACTGCAACAGCTTATTGCAGTTAAGAACTAAAATATTCTAGGAATTAAAGGTACATGTTGAGCTGCATTTTTCAAACAGTGAGAGGAAGCCTTTCATTTCACAATAACCAACATTAAAAGTAAAGAACCAAAAACTATAATTATCTATAGAATGGTTGCCAGTGTTCCAGAGATAATATCATATTCAAGTGTTCTGTGACATGCTTGTTTATCAGAAATAGCATGCTACAAGCATAATGCTTTGACAGAAGTCCTCCTAAGCAGGTAGGTTGAAAGGTATATATTAGTATAACTGGTGGCTGGACATAAATCTTGTCAAGTGCTTGTTAACAGCCCAGAACATTTGGTTTTCTCCAGACAAACTAATGGTTACCAAACAGCTGGAGATCATTCCTGAGTGCTTTAAATGGAGGAGAACATTAGGTCCTAGGAAATAACGCACCCACAATCCAATTTAAGAAGGGATTTATGTAGAGGGTGTATGTGTATGCACGTGCAGACATGTGTGTCTGCAAAGTAACAAAACAGTTTTGGTGGGGACAGAATGAATGTGGCATGAGGGGCCAGAGGACCATTGGGTCCAACCCTCTGCTCAGTGCAGGAGAAAGTGCTGTAAGATGACGGATGCCAAAACTCTTTCACCCTCAGGGTCCAATTCAGTCTCAGAGAAACTCTTGGTGGCCCACAGTCCAGTGTTGGGTGGGGCCAAAGGCAAAAGGAACATGGCTAAACTACAAGCTCTTACAGACTGTAACTAAGCCTTAGGAAAGGGATTTATATTTTTTAAAACAGGAAAAACAACACATAAAAGCTGGAAAACCACCAAACGACTAGGACAAGAGGGTTTATTTTTCTTGGCCATGTTTGAGATATAAGAAGCAGATTCTGCTTTATCTATTCTGGCAAATTTAGCTAGATGGTTTATCTGTTTTGGATTGGGTAGTCATTTAAAAATAGCTTATGAATATCTGAAGTCATTAAAGGTCTTGCATTATTACAGAAATAAACTAGAAAGAAGATGAGCTGACTACACAGACTCAGACAATGTCTGACTTCTTGAATCCAACTGGGACCAATGATAACTCAGTTCTGGATGTAACTTTTAGCTTCTGAAAAGACACACTTGCACATAGGCAAAAGCACAGTTATAAGATTAACTTGTCTTCGTCCAATGCATTTTATTGTTTGTTTTTGGCATGAAAGGATGGTGGAACACGTTATAAGCCACATCAGTTGAATGCATCCATCACTGCAGGATAATGTCTGGCAGAATAAATGGAATTTGTTGTGTCTAGAGCTAAATGAGCAAAGAAAGTAATTTCAGATACCAGGAGGAAAATAGATGGGCTTCAATGTCCTGGTGCTAACAGTTCATAGATGTGTTCCATTTAGGCTCACTTACAAATCTGGCTTCAAAAGGCCAACTTAACAAATACATCTCTGAATATCAGCTGCTGGAAACAGAAGCAGGAGGAGTGACTATGCTCACGTTTTGCTTCTCAGGTTTCTACGAGGGCACCTGGCTGGCCACTGGAGGAGCTGAACCCTGGAGTAGATGAGTCCTTTGGTTTGATCCCTTATAGATCTTATGCTCTTAAAATAAGGAAGCAAACCATTCACGTGTAAGCTTGCATTTTTAAGCCTGCTCTTTTGTATGAAGTGCAATGCCAAACTTCTTTATACAGAAGTTAACCCCAGGAATGAGTTAAAGGCAGGAATGCAACCTTTTGCTGTGTCCCGTAATATTTATTACATGCAGCACACCAGCATTACAAACATCCAACAAGGCATCTCTTTTGTTTGATTAGCACATGACAGAAGCTCCAGTTGCCCTTTGGCACACAGATAAATACAACATGGATGTGGCTGGCAGCAAATTTAATAAATAGAGGAACATTTTTTTCTGCTACCCCAATCACAGCCATATCCATGTTGCCTTTCAATATATTACATTGTTTAGGAAATGCACCCTCAAGGATAATTTGTATTGCTATGTTCAAGACTCCTTATGGTCTATGATCTCAGTTCAAAGCTACATATTACTCCTTGTCATAAGTACACAGAAAATAGTGGGGGAAGAATTGAGGTTTAAGAACAGACTCTCTCATCCTACCATTTGGATTCTTATCATTCTCTTACAAACAGAGGAGGCAATGACAACTGGCATTCAAGTCACAAGAATATCCCAGAAACAGTAATGACAGGAGCAGCCAACTCCATCAGCAGTCCCTGTGTAGTACAGCTCACTCTGGGAAGTCTTGGTGATTTCAGCCTGATGTCTGACTGGGGAAGGATAAGTTATGTGGCCACTTTGGAAGTTATTGGGTTCATTCATTCATTTTGCATATGGCTTGTTATACATGGACTTATGATTTATATTAGCATATAAACTAAGTCAAAAACATATTTAAAATATACATGTTAAAAAGATGTCTATTCAAACATCAATACGATGGCGCACCTATGGCATTCGTGCCGCAGCGGGCATGCAGAGCCCTCTGTTGGCACACAAGCCAAGTCACCCCAGCATCACTCCAGCAGCCAAGCATCAGATAACAGCGCACATAGGGGCCATGCGCATGCTTGGAAAGGAGTAGCGGCGCCAGGCAATGACATCATGAGCCACGGCTCATTAGCCGCAACTCATCCAAGCTTTCACATGGCAGGTCAGTGCACTGCTAAGTGTGTGTGTGTGTGTGTATATGTTTGTATCACTGAAAGCTCTGTTATTGCGTTTTTCTTTTAAGACACAATATGTTAATGTGTGAGTTGCTTTTTCTAAACTAAAACCTCAGTATTCAGGTTTTATTGCAGTGTTGGCACTTTGCGATAAAAAAGTGGCTTCTGAGTTGCAGTTTGGGCACTCGGTTTCTAAAAGGTTCACCATCACTGGTCTAGGCCATCTAAGCACTGAAGCACAGCATTGTTTATATGGAAAAAGTCAAACACTGGGCCAGTATATGTCCTCAGTTTACAGCTGATCACGATATTGTGTACAGTTTGATGTGGAAACCCACAGTCATACTGAGGGATGGCAACTACCCCCCCCCCCCCGTATGCAGTGAAACCAGGCAGATGCCATGTGAGGTGCGAATCCAGTTCAAAGTTGTCCACTACTGGTGGAGTGGGTCAAAGCCTGGCACCTTTTGCGTGGAGTCATCTAAATGTCTTTCTGTTTCTGAGCGTTCAGCAGCCCATTTAGCTTTCCATTGGGAATTGATGTTAAACTTATGTAGATGTTGTGCGAGGGCCAGTGACGGCTTCCTGGATTTGAGCCTGCCGATTGATAGATAAGGAAGGTCAGCATGCACTGGAAGGAGTGGATTGTGATTTTTCTGTATTCTTTCACTACAACGTCTTCCCTTCATAAAGCTGGTGGTGCTATATGGCTCAGAACAGGAAGCCAGTTAATAGGAGAGGATTTGATACATCTGCTTATAATCCTCATGGTGTCATTAAGTCTGGCGTCAAGTTAATGGGTAACAATGCATAGGTCCCCTTTCCAGTACTTAGGAAGTTCTCTATTTCCTTCCACAACTTTATCCCTTCTCTGACATGCAGTACTTTTCTTTGCTCATGTTATTTTCCTTTCCTCTTTAGAGATTTGGGGGGGGGGGGGTGTTGTGTCTCAATGGATGTGCAGAAGCATGCATGAGTCTATTTGGGGAGCACTGCTTTCCTTATTTTCTTTGAAAGGGGCCTCTGAATATCTTTGCTTGAAAACTTTGACTCTGCAACCAAGTAAATATGCTCCTAAAGTTCTGAGAAAAAACAACTAAACTGAAAGCATCTGTTTGTACTGCTTCACAAATATGCATTTTAATAAATAATTTACACATCAGCCTTCAAATTCATCTTTTTCTTAAGCATACTCTGCTCTATAGGCAGTTTTTAACAAAATAAATCATTCATTTCTTGGATTTCAAGAGACTGATCATGCCTAATAGACCTAACTCTTTCATATAGTTAGTTTTAGAATTGTATACACAGTTACTGCTCAGTTTTTCTACACATGCCTTTCTCACAATTGCAAGGAGAATATTGTCCCCCTCAATATATCCAGGGAAACTTTTTTTTTTTTTTTTTTTTTTTTTTGCTTCAGATAAGCAAACTTGTGATTACTGTGAACTCAGGTGAAATTTGGTTCCACAAGCTTATAGGCACATTTTCTTTCTTGACTGTGATAATGTTAACGTTAATAAACAATTTTCTCAAATCATTTAATGTTTACTTTATTTGTTCTTAAGAGCTGTGTTCTTTCTTTGTGGTCAACCAGCCTTCCATACACACCCTCCAATTTAAAGTTATGAACTAGTCCAATTCGAGGTTTCCATTCTCAATTAAGTAATTACAGATACTGTCATAAACTAGAAATGGCTTCAACTGGCCACTCGGAAAAGATGTAGGAGGTGTCATGGAAAGATTATGCCTTTTCTTTGTAAGCACTAGCTCAAGGCTCCAGAACTTCTCAGCCACTGATCCTATTTGAATAATATACATTTCAATGGAACTTATAACTACACAGAATTGTTATCTCCACCAAAGTTAACCAAACTATTGTATGCAATCCAGGCCCACATTAAGTCAGTGAATGCTTTATTATATCCCTGGTAAACAATTCATTTTGGTAATACTCACGTTTATTTGAACTTGTATGGACCAGTCACCCAGGACAGGATGTTTGGATAATTTAAACTGTTTGGCAATCTTGCCCAGTTTTCCATTCTGTTTCAACCACTGCTGAATCAAATTGCGTCGAGGATCCTAACAAAAAAGTTTATACTGTTATTATGGGTAGTATCAAACACAGATGTTGTATGAGCAGGAATGCCTGCTGACACAACAGTAAAATAGCACTTGTTTGAGCAACTGGAATGGGGCAAGTCCACAGAACTCCCTTTTGTGACCTCTGCTTAGTTTCTTCTGTTGTAATGTAACTTCCCACTGCATTAGTCATCAGACTGCTCACAGTAAACACTGTCCTATGCATTTAATAATCTGGCATTAACACATCCAGGGCCACATCCAAAATAGTGATTAATGGGGCAAGAGTTCATTGTAATAAGTGATTATCACAAGAGGGACCTGGTTTCAGTAAAAAACATTCATCCAGAAACTTCACCAGCAATGGGGCTGTGAGTGCATGACCTAAAGAGCACATGCTGAAGATAACAAGCTCCCAAGATGGCAAGTGTAGCACAAAAACCTTCACAGTAAAGTTAATTACTTAAAAATTATCTATATGTTAGGCACAATGGATATGACAGGCCTCCGTGCTGTTTACTAAGTGCACTATTTTTGAACAAAGAATTCTCATTCCTACATAAAATGCCTTGTTCATACAAAACTGCTTTTAATTTTTTAAAAATGACAGTGAAGTTGTGCACTTAGTATGAAGAATGGTAGTAGAAATAATTATGTGATAATTTTATCACTTCAGTGGAACCCATTTAGAATATGTCTTATTTGTGCATAAATATTTTCCCATCAAATACAAAACCTGCCTCAGAGCAAAACTTTGCTGCTTTGGGCCTTAAAGTACAAGGTGATGTCTAATTTGACCCTTAAGTAAGGTTAAACTTCGATTTACCAGTATGTGAATGCATAAAAGTGGATGGACTTGGGAATGGATATCCTGTCTCACTAAATTTCAATTACCCAAAGGGAAGAAAAAGTGTGGGGGGAGACCCTGAAAAGTAGAGCAAAAGAGGAACATGTAACTTTATCAGCTATACTTGGACTAGAACCACATTTTTTGTATGTATTCAGCATCCAAAATATACCAAACCCCATTTTCTGAAGGAGAAGTGATATTTTACACAATGTTGAGTGTAACGAACCTCAACTTTTTGTATTGAAAGCAGATGTTTCCCACATATGAACCCCAGCAGGAGTAAAACCCCCTTGGTATACTTTAGAATAAGGAAAACAGCCATCTTTTCCTCTCCCCACAGTCCATCTTCCACTTAAAACTGCAGCTTTTCAAAGCTGCTTTTACTTGGGACAGAAGGTGGGGCAGTTCACTACATGCCCCTGAACCTTGTGCTCTAAGAGCATGGAACTGGTTTGAAATGTCAACTCCGCAAGTGACCGTTTACATTAAGTACGGATACCATCTTCATTTGGGGTCTATTTTAGAATAAACCTTCTTCCTGCTGCTGTGTCTTAATGTAAACGTATCATGAGTGACAATCCAGTACTCTGAAGAAAACCGTACTTCACCAAGTAGGTAATGTTAAGTTTCTACTTACCCGAATATACACATTTACAGGAGTATTGTATGGCTTAAGGTCCGGATACAAAGTAACTACCCTTATTTTCACATCTTGCCCAGCCTTATATACAGACTTGTCAGTCTGGATGAAGACTGAGAAGCTTTTGTCCTCAAACAAAAGGGCAGTAAGTTCAGAAAACAGCAGCTGACTTTCTGAATACCCTTTGACTTGTAAATCGCAATTAAGATTGCTACTGCCAAAGGGAAGCTGCAGGAAAAAAGACAGTTTACATTAATTAACGTTTTTGTTTTTATTGCTAATAGCTCTTACAGACATGGAACAATTAATAATTAAACACACACACACACACACACACACACACACACAAGAATTGATGTGGGGTCCCATGCTCACTTGCCTGTGAATGAATGACACTGAACACAGTGGGGCTTACAGCAAACTAAACATAAAGAGAATTGTTCTGTAAAAATTACGACGACGGCGATAATCCAAACAAGAGTTTTCTCACTTGGAAACAAACAGGGTTTTCCACTGATTGACTATGCCACACCATGGCAGCATTCAGGTAGTTGTTGATGGCTTCAAAAGCCATGATGAGCACCATGGACAGCGCTGCTGACTCCTCCTCCCCTCCCCTCTCACACCAACTTTTGCACAGAAATCACGGCCTACCAGGATTCCTCATTAAGTCTAAATTAAGCTCAGCGTGATTAATTTTGGTTTGCCACTCATCATTAAGGCAGCGTTCCCGAGTTTGAACATAAAAGGAAACTGTGGCTTGATGCAAACTAGGATCTCCTAAAACTGGTTCATGAGAGGGTGGGAGGAGTGTGGGAAGAGCACTTATCCATAAAGTATCACATTTTGACACTTTCAATTGCTTACTGCTCCTTCCTTCCTTCCTTCCTTCCTTCCTTCCTTCCTGTGCCTCTTCTCCCAACTACTTTTCTTTTTTTCAATGTTGCACATTTAAGATCTTTAAGAAACAGCCTGTAGTCCACAGGGATCTTCTCAGCTCTAAACACACAAGGACAGCATTGTAGCTCAAACAGCTAGAAGAGTAGGAGGCCTGGTGCCTTCTAAATGCTTCTGACTGCAAATGCCATCAGACCCAGCCAACACGGCCAATGATCAGGGGTGAGAGTTATGGTCCCAAACAACTGGAAGATACCAGGCTGACCAATGCTCTATAAACAGCCAGGAATGCTTTTCATTTGCATGTAAGCCCAGACAGGTTGCTAAATATTGTGAGCTCTTCTGTGCACTCACTTTTGTAAGCCTTCACCAACTTTGAGCCCCAGCTCTGAAATGTGTTAGAGTTCTATTTCTTCTTGCATTTTCTTGCAAAGTATCTTCTTACAGCATATCCATCTCCTACTCGTGTTTATTCAGAAGGAAGTCCAACTGTGTTCAGTGGGACTTACAAGCGTAGGACTACAGTCTCAGTCACTTTTTGGAACTTTCAGAACTTTTAACAGTGCAGACGAACATTTCCCAGAAACACAGTATGTTTTAAAAGTTTACATAAAAGTTTTTCAGATGGGAAAAATGGCTAAATGAAGAAAATAGAAGATAGCAAAATATAATCATTGTTCCCTCCCTCCCTTTATAGACTGTAAAGTGTGCAACATGTAAACTATGAACACATTGAATACATATATCATACAAATACACCTGTCCATGAGCTAGGGCTCACTGGGGCACTTTCTCAAGTGTAAGCTTGTTGATAAACAAGGATTTGCTAATGTCTGAAACATCCCTCAACTGCAGCATGAAGAGATTTCTAGCAAAGAAAAACTAGGCTGGGATGTAATCCAACTCCATGAATGGTAACTATTCCATTATTTTAACAAGAGATGGATGACAGCCCAAGTGTTATCATCACAAGATAGAAAACAATATAAAATACATTTTAAAGAAAGAAAAATAATATTATATAAATGCACATAAGTTAGTAGCTATAGTATAGACATTTGTGTATTACTGTGTGTTTTCATTTACATAGGCATTTTTAAGTGTCTATTACTGCTGAGACCCTGTCTAAAGCATTAGAGGAAGCAATTCTATAGCCTCTCAGCATTGACCTGGTCCATACAACATAATAAGCCACTATAAGTGATCAGTTATGGTGGGCTGTCATATTTATTTATTTTATTTATTAAAACATTTTTATGCTGCCCCATTCGCCGAAGCCTCAGGGCGGCTTACAACAATCATATCATATGAACCCAGCATGGTTTTTGAAGGGTGGGTTATTTTTCATGAATAATTCACCCTGAAAACCCATGGCTTTTTTTAGGATTGTTGAAATTCATGGTGGCTTGTTACATTGCCTAATCTGGCAGAGAAATCCTATTGAGGAAAAACCTCAATAAGAACCTCTAACCGCTTCTTGTGATCTCAGTCGTGTCACTACCACCACCCTCCCTCATGCCTTCACGGTTCCCTCTACCCCATGCCCCTCAAAATCATGACTGTCAAGATGCGAAGGGCTTCCCGCGTCAGGGATGTTCTGGATCTAAAAGTCAGATCTTGGCCCATTCCCCCTTTTCTTTTCTTATCCGTCCTACAGTACAAACCTATACATGTCTACTCAGAAATAAGCCCCATTGGGCTGATTCCCAGGTAAGTGTGTATAAAGCTGCAGCTTTGATTTCCTTTCTGACTTCCCCCCATTTTTAGACTGTTTTTATTTTTTTCACTTTAAAAAACCTTTTTGGAATGCTCTGCAGCTGTGTAAAGGGGTGGACTTTGGATGCTTGAAGGTTTGTGTATGCATGTGTCTCTGCATGGTCATGCATGTTGTGTGTGCATTCTTTGGAAGATTGTGCTATATGCTTTGGGGTTCATATGTGTCCATGAGTGACCTCTGTGTGCTGGGGGGGCGGGGATCCTGCAAGTGCTTTGGGGAGATGAAAAAGGGAGGGCTGTCTGTATGTGCACACATGTGCATATAAAGAGTTCTGCTGGATATGCACCAGCACATGCAAAGGTATGGCTGTGGATGAACACAAAAATCCATACTTTCTCCTGAGCAATTTAGTCCTCCTCCTTTCTAACAAAATGTGCATAATTCTGTGCTGTGAGATTTCAGAGTAAGCCTGCTTTGTGGTGGATATAAACATGCATGGACTTTTGGGTGCTTTCTGCACCTGTTCCTGGGTTCCAAAGGAAGCTTTCCTGTGTGCCCCTGAGACTAGCACATCTTGTTCTAATCATGATCCTTACCCTAGTTATTATGGCTGTGTGGATTCTCCTTTCCCACATCACCATCCTATTCTCTGTGGAATAGGGGCTGCTAGAACAGGAAAATAGGTGTCTAAAGGAACACAGTACTTGGGTGTGGCTGTATGATTCCCCCACCCTCCTTTGAATATTTTTTGCTTCCATGACCTACATTTTGCTTCCATGCATTGCTGACTGTTGGACTTCCCCACTTCTCATGACTCCTTGGGCTTGGCCTCTGCTGATCTGCCCCCTGCCCCACCAG